CCCTTCCAAGCCATTCTAACCTCCTGCTGTGGACAGGCTTGCCACCCAGCAGCTCAGGCTGCCCAGAACCCCATCAAACCCAGTCTTGAGGACCCTCCAGGGATGGGGCACTCACAGCTTCTCTGGGTAGCCTGTGCTAGTGCTTTACCACCCTCTGAGTAAAGAATTTCTTCGTAATATCTAATCTGAATCTCTCCTCTCTTTAGTTTAAAACCATTCCCCTTGTCCTGTCAGTTATCTTAATCCATTGGTTTGTTTCCCAGCATTCTATAGTTAATAATACCCTTTTGTTCAAGGTGGTTAACTATTCAAATGTCAATAGCACAACTGACTGAGGCTGGAACTTGAATTTAGCAGCTAAGCGAGGCAAATGTTAAAAGTTAGATATCAATGTTTTGGATCCTAAAAAAGCTCTTAACTTGTTAGTTCTCATGCTTTTGTTAAAAGTTTAAAAACTTTTGTGGGCTTGTTGTTGAGACCAGAATTCCTGGGGGAGCTCCTGCCAGCAGAGGCTGGGCTTGTCTGTCTTGCTAGGGGAGTGATAGAGAAGTAAAGAGACTTCAGCTCCTTCTGGCCTGTCTACTAAAATGGGTAGGATTAGACAGCAGAACAATGAACTTGTGTCAGGTAAAATTCTTTCCACAACTGTAAAAGAACAAACCTTACTGAATTTCTCCTGTCAGTCTGAGGAGCCATGAGTTATAACTCTAATCCTAATGTGCTAGGCAGCAATGCACCTTGCACCTGAACTGAGATAGTCATTTACACGAATCTAGCAGCAGGAGGAATGTGTGCCTGTGGTCGTGTAGCTCTGCAGCAGTGTTATAACAAAAGGTGAAGTGCAGGTGCTATCTGGTGATTGCTAGAAATGAATTTGGTAAGCATTAAAGGAGAAAGGGTGGGGAGAACATGGTGGCTGAGCTTGACTGAATACTGAACCAAGCGCATGCCATGAGGTCAGTTATTAAACAGGTGTCTATTCCCTTGAAAGGCCCTGAGCTGGACATAACACTAATTTTACTGTAATGGTTGTGTCCTGGGTGGAATAGACCACAAATCATCAGGTTGGCTGTGTATTTGTGAGCTATTTCATGTCCAAATCCCCATGCCTATTTCATCCCCATTACCTAATGTCTGTCTGAATTTAAGATCTAGGCCTGTAGTTAATACTCTTGAGCCAAGCTTCAAGCCTTCTCCACAATCTTAATGGAAAAGCATTCCTCAGGCCCTAAGAAATACTATTGGATTTTATCTTTCAGACTGTACCTTCCCAGGAACGAGCTGGATAACCCTCACAAGTCAAAAACATGGAAAGTCTACAGTGAGACGTTTGCTGTAGAGATGAACTTTACTGAGCTGTAAGGGAAAGCTGAAAGAAGGAAAATACTTTAACTCATCTCCTGTCCTGATGATGCCTTGCTGCTTCAGTGTAGTGAAGCGGTCTCACTTTGATGTACTTAATGTATTTCTATGTAGATACAGCTTCTCAAATAAACTGACCTGAAGTTCTGTTGTGCAGAGCAATACATCTCTGAAGTATTTAATGTCATGTAACTGTGATTTATGTGAATGTGCTGATAGATCTGCTGGAGCCTAGATATGTTTACATGCAGGTAATCCCTACTCTAAGCTGTGAGCATTAACCAACAGCATTCACTTGTTGCTGGGTAGAGAACAGCAGTCTGCAGGGCACTGTTGGAGTAGACTGAGACACTTCCCCCAGCATCAGGTCACCAGAACTAAGGTAATATTGAGGGGAGGGGAAATAATAACCTGCCACTGGCAGGTGGGTGCTTACCTTAGCTAATACCCATAATGAAGTAAGCAGAGATCCCAGACCTTCCAAATGCTCAGCTGAGGGTTGTGGCATGCTCTGAGGTACGTATACAGACCTGAGTCTGGCTGTTGCTGAATGATAGCCTGGTATTTAGTAAGTGTGGTGTTGAAGCTCCCATCTAGTTGGCAGCAGCAGCTTCTTTTGCACTGTGGTTCAAGTACAGAGGTCTGAACTCATTTTGAAGGTGCATTCTACAAATGCTTAGCACTTCCATAAACAGGATGCTGTGGGCCTGGGTCTCTTAGTTACTACACGTGGAAGTGTGTAGTGAGATGTTATTGGAGCTTCTGAAGGTGAAGGGATGACGGTGGAGTTAATGCTCTGCTACTGGTCTGATGGCAACGAAATTTCCCCCTTATAAAGGCGTGAGGCCAAAGTTCCCTCGCTAGAGGGCGACCGAGTAAGGCAGCAGGCAGGGCCCTCCAGTGCAGACCGAGCTTACTAGGAGCTGGAATCCAATGCTGTTTTATTGCAGCTGGAAGTGTCTGATGACTGAGTTCCTTTTAGCTCAGCTCTGGCAGTGAGATAGCATTCACCTAAACTGTCCTTTCTAATCAGCTGCAGGGCACTTAAGGTTCTCTGTCCTGCTTGTGAAGGCTCTCACAGCAAGAAGTCAGGGGTTTTTGTCCAGCTGAAGTATGCACTTCCATATTATAAGCAGGAACAGGTAACAAAATAAGTACAAGTGCTGCACTGCATCTCATTTCAGGGATCCAAAGACTGCTAGCAGTAGTTTCTGAACTTCCTAGAGCAGTAACCTCTGGCTTCAGTGTAGTGGACACTCATCCTTTGCTTCTGGGGGTCTTATGTGACCCAAGTTTCCCTGTACTGAGCTACTGGTAGGTAAATAACACAAGCTGAGTGTTACTGAAGGGCAAAGCCTGCTACTCAGTTGAATCAAACTTTATTGCTATGAATTCCTGTAACATTATGAAGTTCTCAGCTGAACAACCCATACATGTGTGCAGCTTAATTGCAGCCGTAGAAGTTACTGCTTGGTTCAACCCTGAAAGGTAAACTGTTCATGTCACCAACTTCCTGCTGTCAGTGGTTCTGAAACTCCTGCTTCTCTTGAAGCCTTTTTTTTTTTTTTATTAGTAATTAGATATTGCAACTGAGCTTTATACAATGAAAGCAAAGACAAATCTAAGACATAGATTTCAGTATTCCCCTGGTATGGATTCTGTTATCTTTGTATGCAGTTGTAATAATAATGACATTTGATATTATTTCTCTTGGATAAACTACTTCAGAAAGCAGGAAGCTTAAGACTCCTGAAATCCAACCCTTGTACCTGAATTATTCAAGCCTTTGCCACAAGCTCCTTTTTAAAGAACTGACTTTGTGCAGTGTTACAGCCACAGATACCAGTGAGTCGAGGTAAAGTTGTGCAATAGACAGTACAGCCTCTTCAGCCATGCACTGTTTGTAACTGCTCCTCAGGTGAGAGTGGTTTGTGCTGCTCCTGAAGGCTGAAGAAACAAAAAGGGTCTGTGGACCTGCAGTAACCACCTTCCACCAGAGACCAGTAGCCCATTCCACTGTACTTGGACTCCATCACAAGAGGCAGTGAGATGTTTTTCTCTGTGTCTACAGCTTTTTCCTCTTTCTGGGGATATGAAACAGGCTGTAGTATGAAACTGCCACTTACTGGCATGTTCTAGGTGCTGTAACAAGTGGCTAATTTCTATGTGATGTGTCAAAGTGCTGCTAGCCAAGAAGGTGGCTGTGTCCAAAGGGTGAGTATGTCACACCATCACATAGGTAACATCTCTCTCAGCACCTCCAGGTTTGATTTGTGAACTGCACTGTACTGAGATTTGCTTTGTCTTCGTCCAGGCTTGGCAGTAGGCTGCTTTCTTAAAGAAAAGGAAGGAAGCAACTAGAAAAGTAGGTGCTACAATCTCATTTTGGGTAACACTAACTGGCCTGAAGTTGCATATTTAAGCAAACGCCAGGAGAAAGCATATGTGTCCTTCAGTCCTGAGGGTGATGTGAATGGCCCGAGACAAGTGCTTTCCACTTAACTGAAGAGCTGCAGCAAGTGGCACATGTGGCAGGACTCCAGTTGATGTAAATTAAAGCCCATGGTATCAGCTGTCTTCAAGAACTTGGCTCTGGCTTTTTCTTCCTCTTCAGCTTCCTCTCCTTCCAGCACAGGCTCATCTACATCAAGGTGGCCCAACCCTGAGCTCGCACATTACAACTCCATGCTTTGAACAAGCAGCTGTTTCCAGTAGCCCTCCTATGTTAGTTTAGTTCAGTGACATTTATAATACTTCAGCACTGCCTGCAGCAAACACTTGTCACAAATGCTGCCTTGTCTTCTTACACCCAGAAACTTCATCTTTCATCTCAAATGCAACCCTACCTCAGCTCTAGATCATAGGACTGTAAAAGCAGGGGGTGAAAGCTTCTAGCTTCTGTAAGGCCATCAGTGTGTCAGAGTACGAAGTCAGGAACCAGCTGCAACAATCATAGACAGTCACTGGGTGGAAGGGAGCTAGAAAATGACAGCCACACTCAGTAGGATTAGACAAGAAGCCCCTCACTGCAAGAAAGATATTGAGGCCCTGGAACGTGTTCAAAGGAGGGCAACAAAGCTGGTGAGGGGTCTGGAACACAGGGCTGATGAGGAGAGGCTGAAGGAGCTGGGAATGTTCAGCCTGGAGAAGAGGAGGCTCAGGGGAGACCTCATTGCTCTCTATAACTTCCTGAAGGGAGGTTGTAGTGAGCTGGGGGTCGGCCTCTTCTCTCGTGTCATTAGTGATAGGACCAGGGGGAATGGTTTCAAGCTACGGCAGGGGAGATTCAGGCTGGACATGAGGAAGTATTACTTTTCAGAAAGGGTGGTCAGGCACTGGAATGGACTGCCCAGGGAGGTGGTGGAATCACCGAGCCTGGGGGTGTTCAAGGAAAGACTGGATGTTGTGTTGAGGGACATGGTTTAGTAGGAGCTATTGGGAATAGGTGAACGGTTGGACTGGGTGATCTTTTAGGTCTTTTCCAACCTTAGTGATTCTGTGATTCTATGATTCTATGATTCTAAGATTGGAATTACTTGGAATCAGATACTGCTAGCAAGAAATGGGAAATGCAGCAGTCACAGCCCAGGCTCTAAAGCAATGCTCCTCTTAAACAAATCACAGCCTGTTATGTCTGTAACATTAAAAACCAATGTGTCTTTTTAGCACCATTACAGGCAGGCATTTATGATGTGCAGCATACCCAGTGCAGAATCTGCAAGATGGAGACAGTCCTGCCCGCTTAATTCAAGAAGCATATACACCTCTCCATAAAAATCATCAGAATTTAAAAGATTACAAATCCTAAACTGGAATTGAGTTCCTAAAATCAGGTCAGTGATCTGGTAATGCTCTCAGATCATGATGAGTCCTTTTTGATTGTTTATTTAAAGGGTTGATCTGTTTGCTAGAAGGTATCAGTAAGAATCTATCTGTTTCATCATAAGTTTCCGACTGTACTCATAGGCAAGGAACAGTGCCCCATTGGCCAGGAATGCACGGATCATAGTTGGCTTTAGTCCAGAATACAAGGCAAGCACACCTGGAAATGAAATTACAGCTGGTTAGCAATTCATTATAATGCCTTTTATCATCAAGTCCTATGCTTTCACCTTTCAAGGGCACTTAAGTTACGGTTCTGCACATGTACACACAGCCACACGCAACTGAAGTCCTTGCTGTAGCAGTTAACTAGAGAGCTGCTGGATACTGATACAGGAGCATCTTACAGTACTAACAGGAGCTGAGCTTTTTAACTTTTGTTGCTTACATGAGACACATCTCAGGCATGATGGAGTCTTCAGAAGGCTACCTTTGTCTCTAGAGGATGCAGGCTACCCCTGAGCCACAAAATACCCCTGCTCTGCTGACTATCTTCCTCAGTATCAGGGTCAGGAATCGCATCTACTGCCATTTATGTTCTTACACCACTTCTGGAGTGCCTGCTCCAGGCTTTTTCCACAGAGGACATGCTTAGGTAGAAGCTCCAAGTTGCCAGTCCAGATCAGACCAATTTATCAAACAGCCTGCGGTCAGTCATAAATCAACTTCTAGAGGTAATTTCAGCACACTTCTTTAACTGCTTCCTTCAGGTTTTATGCATAAATAATGAAATTTACTTGTCTGATTTTAATGCTTAATCAGCTTTTGTTAGCTGTAAGGGAATTGCTTCCTGACTCAACAAGCAGAGCAGAATGAAGTAGGTCTCAACTTCTAGAATCCAAGATTCTCAAACTAGGAGAAGCAACAATAGCTCTGCTAGAAACTGTTAATAAAAGTCTCTTAACACATTATCAATGGACAAGGTTTATTAAGCTGCTTTTGGTGCTGAATAGGTTTGAAGACGTAGCCCTAGAGCTTCTCTCCATCTCCTGCACACTTACCTTCAGTTCTCACAACAGTTACAAATGTTCCCATGAAGCCCGCTTGCTTTCCAGTCATTGACAGAACCTGAATTCTAGATTTGACACAGTCCACAGGATACACAGCAATCCACAGACAGCTGCCTCCAAAACCTCCGCTGAGCAGCAAAGGAATGGGACCTAGGGTTAAGAAGCGAGCTTTTAGGCATACCACAAAACATTTGCAACATACACATTGCATTATTTCAACTACAGAAGTCAAAGAGAACACAGAGGATCTCACAAAAGAAGAGCAGTTTGTGCTTCCTCAGAAAGCTCTAAGTTAATTTTAAGCCACTGCTATATTGCAGGTCTAGCCAGAAGCTCAAAGGTTACAAAGGAATGCTTTATAGTTCATTGGCCATGCTAAGAAAGCACAGCTCAGAGCTCTGTTTTGACTATTAACCAAATTAACTCCACTCCCTTCACACCTTTAATCACTTTCTAGTGTTAATTATGAAACAGTTAAGAGAAACACCACATAGTGACGCTGATTACCTTGCAGAGTTTTACTTGGCACAGTGAAATTATTATGTGATCAATCATTGTTCATGATGCAAAGTCACTTTGTGTTTCAGATCACATTTTAATGAATATTTTACAACAGGGTTTAGAATACACACAGCTGAAGTAGAGCCTCCCAGCAAGACAAAGTATTATTGTTCAGTCTTTGAGAAGGAGACAAACAATGTCTATTCTCTGTTGGCATCTCATTTCTTAATGTCTGATTTTTAATATCTTCTCTTACTGTCACTTTAATGACCTCTACAGGTCAGCATACATTTATTTGTACAATGCAGTGCTGCAGAAGACTTCAAATCTCATTCCAAACAGCCGCTGAGAAGAAACAGTTCAGAGATGTTACACAGTGGTGTAAATATTACTGTTATATTACTGCATATGTTTTCCATTTACAGTGCATCCTGCATCATTAGAAGAGGATGATTTCAGTAATTGATTACTGTTTATGCACAAAGTGCAGATCTCTGTATTCCGTATATCTGGTTCCCTTTGTTTTATATCTGCTGTGCATCATCCCTCGCAGATTCACCCTCTCCCTTACGAACCCCGTGACAGCATGCTGGAATCCACCTGAAAAGGGCACCGTACCCAATTCATCTTTCGATCTCCCAGAGGCAAAGAACGTCCGGCTCAGTTCATACCCCCCAAAGAAGAAGAAATAGCCGGGGACTTCCCGCAGCAAGGTGCTCGACAGGCCGCGGTAGAACCCGAGGGGGCCGTCCCTTTGGATAACGCTCTTCACTACTGCCCAAACTGTACTGAGGGAGAGATTGATCCAGTTAGTGATGCTCAGTGACTCAATAACAAGATTACGGACAAGAAACCAGTAAGTGTTAGACGAGTGTGCAGAGAACAGGGCCCACATAGAACTCAGAACTAGGTTCTGCCTACAGTCTGTCCTTGGCACCATCTTTACCAGTGCCTGTGGGGTCTCCAAGCATAGGCCATGACCCTCCCATCACAGCTCTTCTCTGGCTAACAGCGTGTTACCAGTGTGGCACTGCCGAGACGGCAATTAAAAACAATAAACACACACACAGAGGACTCAGAGGCACTGAACGTGAGCAACACTTACTTCTGTCCCTGCGTTATCTTTCCCGACAACTGCATTTCGTGCATGGCCTGCAGCCGGCACTTCACCAGCTCTGTGGGGCACAGGGCAAGTGCAGCAAAGGCAGAGGCGAAGGAGCCCGCGGCAGCGTTCTGTAGGTCACTGCAAGAGAGGAAGGCACAAAGCTCTGAGTGCACAGCCGTTACTGACAGGCAGCATCCAAATGTGCATCCTAAATGTTATCGACAAACTGAAGGACAACCCTGGGGAAGGAGCCCCAATAGAGGAGAATGGCAGTGTGAAATATGGAGATAGATAACAAAACTCATCCCATTTTCATATCCACCTTGAATACAACCTTTTGACACCTGAAAAGACATAGTGCAACCTTTACCCTTTTTTGATGTAGCAACAGCAGAGGAATTAACACAATCAAACCTTCTCCTTGGCTTTTACAAGAATTCCTATCAGCTGCGTAGATCTGGGGACTTCTTACTGTTGCAAAGAGAGTATGAGCGATAACTGCCTTAGGTAGGTATCCCTGTGTCATGGTTCTATGTTTTTTGTTTTGGGGTTTCAGTATTCCACATCAAAACATCATGTAGTGTACGGGGCATTAAAGTGTCACTGCCCCAATTCCAAGTACCTATCCCTGTACATTACAGCAGTCACGGGATCTGGCCCTTCCGGGTGGGGGGGGCGCTCTCTTGCTGCCTTGCAGTGGGTGCTGGAGGGTGCTTTCCTAGCCATTCCAAGCTTTTCAGGTTTGAATCAGTCCCAGGAACTCTCTCTCTCTCATCTTGTCTGATTTATTAATCTCAATTTCAATTAAATTGTATATATTGTGTTATCTTGTATTCCGGTATCATAGTAAAATAAGTTTTCCTCCTTAGATTGCTGCCGCTGCTCTTTTCCTCCCTTCTTTCCTTCCCATTTTGTGGGACAGGGGTGGGGGGGAAGGGCAGAGGCCTATTGCCCCCCTGTCACGGACACAGATTGATCTAGTCAACTCCATGACACCTCAAAAGACTAGGCATACTGCCAGCGTTCTGGGATATTTGTAATCTTTGAGCACCGCTTAGTCTGGGTAGTGCCTTTTTCTTTTCTTTTTTTCTTTTTTTTCCCCTCCTCTTGTTAGCTTCAATTCATTAACCCCTTTTTAGCAGGCACCAGCAATGAACCCATTCTTTATCGTGGGGGCACTGTGTAAAGGATTAAAAGCAATGGTGTTACTCACAACCTACTGGCCAATAATCAATCACATTGATTATCCACTTGTTATGGAATTGTGTTCATAGATAACTGCCTAAGGGCACTGATGGAGACACCTGTATTATACCTACATGCAATGTGGTATGACTTGTAATTTGACATTTACATCACAGACAGAATGGCTAATTTTACAAAAACTACGTCCCAAATGGAATAGCTGATCTTACAAACAACACGATGTTCAGACCAGTCTCCAGGTTTTCTTCTCAGTTTATCACACGTTTTTTGAATCTTGAATTAATACTCATGTTGGTGTGCATGTTATTAATTTCCCTGATTATATTCCAACGCACTCATAATAAGGGGAAGGAGTCTCCTCCAAAACCAGAGAATGATGACTGGCAGGGAATATGGAGAGGCTTAGGAAAGGTCTTAGAAGCATGGGGACCAGTAGTGTTATGGGATTTTACTCTTGAACACCTGTGGGATCCTGAGAAACTAAGCCAGTATTTGAGTCAGGGACTATGTGGCTTACATAAACCTAAGGAGGTACAACTTATTTGGGGTTTGGCTTGTGCTTACCGTGCCCTATATAATACCATTCTGGAGAGAGAGAGTTTCCGAGCTGAGGTTCAAGCTAAAGGGGAAAATCCCCAAGTCAAATCTAATCAATCACAGGAGACACCAGTAACAATACCAGTTGCTCCTGTGGAGGGCAAGAAATGGAAACGAGTGTCTTCGCGTCTTGAACGAAAAAGAGAAGAAGAGGAGGAGGAGGTGGAGGAAGATCCAGGCGAGGGGCCCTCCTCAGAACCACCATCATGGCGAAAGGAAAAACATAAAACCATGACACAAGGTCAGGTTTTCCAGCACAGAAACCCGAAGTACTGATAATGCTCCTTAACGAAGCTCTCTAAGAGCAGAGAGAGAGAGATTCATACTAAAAGCTAAAAAGCAGCTGTGCCCACATTCTCCACCAAAATCTGTCACAGAGTTGACTAGATCAATCTATGCCTGTGACAGGGGGGCTGTAGGCCTCTGCCCTTTCCCCCCATCCCAGTCCCACAAAATTGGAAGGAAGGAAGGGAGGAAAAAAACAGCAGCAACAATCTATGGAGGAAAACTTATTTTACTATGATACCGGAATACAAGATAACACAATATAACACAATTTAATTGAAATTGAGACTAATAAATCAGACAAGATGAGAGAGAGAGAGAGTTCCTGGGACTGAGTCAAACCTGAAAAGTTTGGAACAGCTAGGAAAGCACCTCCAGCACCCACTGCAAGGCAGCAAGAGAACGCCCCCCAACCCAGAAGGGCCAGATCCCATGACTTCTGTAACGTACAGGGATAGGTACCTGGGATTGGGGCAGTGACACTTTAATGCCCCGTACACTACATGATGTTTTGATGTGGAATACTGAAACCCAAAAAAACCCAAAAAACATAAAACCATGACACCCTGTACTCAAATTCACCTTGCCAGTAACAATAAAGGATTTTGGTGGGAGATGCTACAAGTCTGAAACTAAGGCAGAGCGGACCGCAATAGACGTGCTGCCACAAATGCAACCACGTGAATTGGACACAGTGCAGACAAACATAAACCATGCTGTTGAATAAGACAGCACTGCAAACTGTGAACTCACAGCATTACACATGTGGGACTTGGTGATTTTAACCATACTGCAGAGAACACCGGTAAGCTGCCAGGAATCAGAGGCTGGCACTTCAGGATTGCACTGCTTTACAATACATCTGAACAGGCTCCTGCAAAGGTATGCTAGATAGAACCAGAGAATCCTTAGAGCTAAAAGGGATCTTTAAAGGTCACCTAGTCCAACTCCCCTGCAGGGAACAGGGATACCACAGCTCCATCACGTTGATCCAGCCTACACCTGAAAGTCTCCAGGGACGAGGCAGCCACCACATCTCTGGGTAACCTGTTCCACTGCCTCACCACCCTCACTGTAAAAGACTTTTTCCTTGTATCCAACCTATATCTACCCTCTCTGAGCTTGAAGCCCTTATTCTGTCACCACAGATCCTGATAAAGAGTCTGTCCCTTTCTTTTCTGTAGCTCCCTTTTAGTGACCAAAAGGCTGCTCTCAGGTCTCCCCAGAGCCTTCTCTTCTCCAGTCTGAACAGCCCCAGCTCTCTCAGCCTGCCCTTGTAGGAGAGGTGTTCCATCTCTTGGATAATTTTTTGGCCCTCCCCAGGACACACTCTAACAGGTTCATGTCTCTGCTGCACTGAGGACTCCACATCTGGATGCAGTACTCCAGTTGAGGTCTCACAGAGCAGAGCAGAAGGGTAGGACTGCTCCCTCATCCTGCTGGCCACACTGCTTTTGATGCAGCCCAGGGTACAGTTGGCTTTCTGGGCTGTGAGGGCACACTGCTGGCTCATGTCCTGCTTCCCATCCACCAGTACCCTCAGGTCCTTTTCAGCAGGGCTGTGCTCAATCCTCTCATCCCCAAGCTTATACTGTTAACGGATGTTGCCTTGACCCAGTTGCAAGATGCTGCACTTGAATTCATTGAAGCACATGAGGTTGTTCTCCTGGGCCCACTGCTAGAGCCTGTCTAGGTCCCTCTGGATGGCATCTTGTCTCTCTGCTGCTGTCTACCACACCCCACAGCTTGGTGCCATCCCCAGACTTGCTGAGGGTGCACTCAACCCCACTGTCTATACCACTGACAAGGATATTAAAGAATTTTTTGGACAACAGTGCAGAAAAACAAGCAGGGCTTCTCCCTTCTTTCAGAACCTGGGGAGCAGTACAGCAGGGACTGCTGCACAGAACCTCTTCCCATGCAAAGGAGACATCTGCCCTGTGCGTGGTTTTAAACACCCACAGTATCAGAGATTACAGCTGCAACTTCTCAGCCCACAGAAGCATTGTGAGACCTAAATCACAACATAAGATAAAGCTTCTGATGTATTCAGATATGGCAGTGACAAGAACAATTAGACTGGAAGAAGTCAATTTTGCAGAGCAGCAATTAAGTAATATGCAGTAAATACGGAATGACAACTCTGGTCACATAATTCTCCTGCAGCACACACAGTTTGATATAACAGGGACCTGAGAAGAAATCCACTACAGGAAAAGACAGAGCAAGGCAGAGTAAAAACAAACTGTGGCTGAGCCCCGTATTCATTGAGGAGCTAAAACAAGGCAATAAAGTTATACAATAAAGAATCAGGATAAGGAAACATGGAAGAGGTGCCTCCTAACTGCATGCTAAAGTAGTTTCCCCTCTTTCAAGGGGAAAAAAAAACCCTAGACATCATCAGACTTAAAGAGAGTTCTGACATATGTGAAGAGCTAGAACAAGACTTCACCATAATTCAGATCTCTTCCACTTCTACCTATCCTGACATTTAATTCTACATACAACAGGTCAGTGAGGCCTGCTGTCTCGGCTTTGGTCTTGAACATAGAGAGTCTCAAGGCACAAGTGGTAAGCCTTCAATCCTGTTCAAGTTCACTCTCAACTCGAGTAATTATTTTTTCTGGAAAGTTTTGAATACACAGCATGGGAACAAGAACTGTCCACTCTTTAACACTGCTGCTTCTTCTACCAATGTTTTTTTCCCTTGTTTTGCAAAGAAAGCAATCTACTTAAGATGACTTGTCACGTACTGAGAAAGTCAAACTGAGGTGAACAAGAATAATAGGTGCCTCAGTTTAGACTTTAGCATGGGATGAGATCAGTTTGGTTGGACTTAATGGATACTAAAAGAGAACTGGAATTCAGCATTTTATTTGTTTTCTTTTTGACTTGTGTATCAGTGGCATGTATTTCTTCAACTGGAGAAAGTGTCATTTTGCAACTGTCCTTGAGAGTGTTTTGACCAGGTATTCCTGAACAGAGGGAGGAAAGCTTACTTCCAACCCATTTGGACATACTACCAAAAATCTAAACAAAAACAAAACCAAACTAAGGTAGCAACTGCTTTGGTAACTGTAAGGTCAGGTTCACCTCAGTTTGTGCCTTTATAAGTTTTCTGTTTCAAGGTAAGACAGCACAACATTTTCTAAACAGCAAAGGCAGTGGAAGAGTTGTAGTTGTTTGTCTCATTTGAAAGACATCCACCTCAGCTTCTACCCCCCCATCCCCATCGCCATCCAAATGGCATACTACAAATTCTTCTTGGCTCTTCCAAAATGAGGATTGGTGGCAACACATTAGATATGTTTCAGCATCTCATATTTGCTCCTATCAGGCCTTAGTATTAAGACATAGCACAACTTAACACGGGCAGCAGGGAACACCAGATGTAACACCACTTTTAGACAGCTGGGGGAGGCTTCACTCAGGTAGCTGTCCATGTCATGTCAGATCTAAAACAAAATCATGACCTCCCCCAGCTACTTCTGGAGATGCCAATTGACACGAGTCAGAATAAAGCTATTAAAAAAAGCTGAATGAGGCTCAGCCTTGCATCTTGGAATAAACTGAGCTAGGAAAACTGTAAGTAGTCTCTTATACACAGTGGGGCAGCACACAGATGGAGAAGGTGCACTTATTCTCATTGCTGAACTGAAAACATAGCTTGAGGGATGCTTAAGAGTGAGGCACACAGACTGCTGGAATTGAAACAACTGGAGAAAAGCCATCCAAGCTAGAAGGAGATTATCATCATTAGGCCAGTGCATAAATCCACGGCTTGTCCACACTGTGAATTTTCTGCACAGCTCTGGTCTCATGAGCTTAAAACCCAGGTGCTTTGGCACTACAGTAGTTTCAGAGAAAGGCAGCTAGGACAGCTAAAGGTACAGCTTTGATTGTTCACTCAACAGGAAGGCTTCTACCTACAAAGAGACTTGGGTGAGAGGAGAGGCACAGAGAAATAGAAATCTAGAAAATGCAGACAGGTATCTATGAGATCCAAATGATCCAGAGAAGGTGGCTGAGCACCAGCTGCTCCCCATCTCTTCCAGTTACAGAATTAATAATTACCACCTGGGGCAGGACCTTATAAGAACTCAAGGGGAGACTGAACAAGTGCTTTGAAAGAGATCCAAAGTCACTGATTAAAAATCACATTGGGATCAAGAAATCTTCTGAACTAAGAACACAAACTGACAGGACTCAGAGGAAGCATTAAATATTTTCTCTCTTCTTTCTCATCCATTAGGCAACCACTTATTGCCAGTACTGTAGACAACACATTGTGCTTAAAGGATCCTCTGGTCTAATCAATATTACGTTGAAGTAATTCAAGTACCTTTGAAACTTGAGAAAAAAAATAACATTCAATAAAACCATTCAATAACAGAGCATTCTTTCCCCTCAGTATGTTTCCCTGTAAGAGGAACCATTATCTGGGGGTTGGGCACAATGATCTCTGGAGGTCCCTTCCAACCCCTACAATTCTGTGATTCTGTGATCTCCCCTGTACAATCAGAACAGCTTGGGAATTGTAAGTTGCAATGCTCAGTTCTTTGGTAAAGTGTTCCAGGTCTTGAGCATTTCAGCTGAGTTGTGAACATCTAAACCAGTCAGCTTCAGCCATGAGATGGCTCTGACATAGTAAGACACCATATCCTAGCATGAAGACCTACATTTCAAAACACACTATGCTGCATTATTGGCAGAAAGATACCTGGGATACCAGTTGCACCTAGAAAATGTCTCCAAGTAGCAGTTCTGTAATTTTTCCCCACCCAAGTTCATTTTAAATACAAAACAGACTGCTGTTACTAACCTGAGCTTTGTTTTCCTGTCTACTCCAACAATTTTCCGCACAATTTGTTGGCAGAACCCATAGCACATGAAAAGAACAGAGTTCTCCGCAACGTTGGCTACCAGAGCAGGTGTGGTCCCCTTGTAGAAGCCTCGAAATCCCACTTGTTTGTAGGTTTTCACAAAACAGTCAACAATTCCTTTGTACATGTCAGGGAATGTCTGCATCTTCACCTTTGCTGTGTCGAAGGGCTGGCCAGTCACCACGCAGGCTGTCCCACCTAAGCAAGCAGTGGAAGTTAAGAGGGTGACTGAAGGGTCTGCACACAAACATTGCTAGAAAAGTCATGCAGAAAGCAAAGACGAATCAGTTCTCTGCAGGAAAAGACAACTGCACTAAATTTAGCACAATAGCATCTATTGTCAGTGGTGAACTTAGTCACCTGAGGACAAAAAATCATGCATAAAAAGACTAATAGCTTGATTCTCAGTAAGAATGTCTCTACTGTAATAAAAGCAAGCATCTACATTGATCAGTTCTATAAAGGAGTACTGAATTAGAGCTATTCTTTGGCAATCAAGGCATTTGTGATAAGTTAAAAAGCAATGTTTTCACTTATTAATACAGTGGATCAGAAGCTATCTGATACTGTGTTCCAGCAATAACAAAACTGAATGATTTGTAATCAGGAGAGGCAGATTCCTCCAGGACAAGAGGAGCACTGCTGAGACTGCTAAAAACTGATGACACATTATAAATTGAGAACCAAAGTTTTAGGTCCTCCCCTTCAAAACCTGAGATGAAGTTTCTTTACTTGTATTCATATATACTGGAACAGTGCATCCAGGAGAAGTTAAAAAGGGCAAGAGGGCAAAGTTTCCTAAGCTGTTATCTTTTCCAAACTGAATTGCAAGGTCAATACCCTTGTACAAACTTGTGAGATATTCCATCAGTGTTGTCAATAACCACTTTGTCCTCACTATAATATTCTTCTGTGAAATTCAACTCAATTCAGTAGTCTACAGAAAAAGTTACACATAACTTATCAATAAGAATTACAGGAGTACATTGGTAGCAACCTGCTGGGAGCTGACAGCTAACAGGAAGCACATGAAAGGTGTCTGTTACTGGGCTTTGCTTTTAAAAAGAAGGGACATCCTACAACAGAACCTGACCTTTCTATATAGTACCATTGACATGAACGTGCCCTAAAGAGGGCAGATGGTGTTTTTTTCTTTATTGCTGAACTGAAATATTTATCTGTAAATCCAGCTCAAGACACTGAAGTAAAAAGAAGTGTGTGCATGTAAGCAGTTATTTTTCTTCTGAGAGACAAAGTGTAAGCAAATGGTTGTTTAACCAGGGTTATTCTCAACCCATTTTACTCTTTGTAAACACACTTATTGCTGTTCCTCTGCAAAAAGGCGTTTTGGGCCTCTAAGAATTCAGGAACCCAGCTCTCACAAAACCTGATTCTCAACCACATGGATCACTGCAAGTTTCAGAGTAAGTTACACAGGGAAGTATGAAAAGCTGCCTGCTCTGGGAGGGATAACCAAGTAACAGCCATGTAAGCCTCAGATGATGAGAACTCTGGAAAGGCTCAGCAAATGCCACTTGCAGGAAAGCCAAGAAATGTATATCCAGGACAAGTGTTAGGTTCCTGTGTAAGGGTAGACCTAAAATATACAGGTCATAAAATAATGGCTGTTGGAAGAAGACCAAGATAATCAGCAATGGCTTTGAGAATCCAAAGCTGGAAAATTGGGAGCTGACTGAATGGTTGTTCTAAAAAGAGAAAGTGCTCTTCTTACAGCATCTTCGGAAAAGGCATGAGAAGCCCAATCAAGTACAGCAATGAACTTTGGAACCTCAAGGCAAAAAGTCCTGGTTAATATCTCAAATATTAAGGAAAAAAAATTCTTCCAGTCAGCAGCAGAATGTCTGTAAAAACAAACTTGCAAATATCCTGCTTGAAAGCTTAGGCAAGTGTGGTCCTAAGAGTAACAGCAGCATGGTGAGAAGAGTCCTGCTTTAAAGAAGTGATTAGAGGCAGCTCAGATCCTAGCCAAAGGACTATGACTCACAGGCACATAAATGACTGATTTATTACTGCTCACAATTTACTTGCCTCAGAACAACTCTATTTATCAGCTAGTTGAAATTATTTGTAGAGGAAGGTAAAATCAGGTAATGCATTTGTTCAGGAACAAGCTGTTTGCCTTGTTAAATACACTTGCTAAAGGGAGCAAAGACACGTATAACAGTAACAGGCACAGCCAGTGAACACAGGCAATACTGAGCAGGTATGTGCAAAGAATGTGGCAAATAAACACTCAGGCAGAACCATCTATTACAACAAAAGTCGCAAAGAAAACCAAAGAAGAACAATTATTTAAGAACTCTGAAATCATATTGAAAAAAAAATCTGAAAGCAGGAGAACAATACCATAAGACAGAATGACATTGAAAGTTTTAAGACTCTCTTATCTCTGTTGGGGAAAAAAAACCCAAAAACAAATATATCAAAGCAACAACAACAAAAAACAACAAAATGGGCAAACCCCACAGGCATGCATTTTGCCTGTATGAGAGTACCACCAGGCAAATAGATTGCTCAGCTAACGCTAGCTTTCAGCTCTTGTAGTAGACAAGAAGAGACAAACAAGGCTTCAACTCAAGAAGTCAGCATTCTCCACTGCCCTGGATGTTAATTAAGAACAGTATTCTCTAGCTGAAGTCCTGGGAAGAAAAGCAATCGCATCACCTGGTTAAGAACCAAGGAACATCAGTAAAACTGTCAAGAACTGCACAGATAACAAGTTGCTCCCATGGAAAATAAAGCAGCTGTCAGCTACTCTTTAAAAAGACACCTCCACCCTCATTCCCTACAGAAGCAAAAATAAGCAAACCCCGAAACAACAAAAATATAGAACACAGGGTGAACAGATTAAGAGAAATAGATTTTCCTGAGGCAATAAAAGAATAATAGTAAAAACAGCCTTCCCTCACAGTGAAACTGTGTAACAGAGTGTTACTTTGCCTTAGCATTGTGCAAAGACTAACAAAGCACTGGCAAAATGTGTTGGAAGGTCAAGTGCTTTATGAAGGTGGCACACTGAACTCTTACTGTAAGTCACTCTTCGCCTTCTCAGTGGACTGAGGTTTACTCCACTCTGGCAGATGACCTCTAACAACTACACTTAACACCATTAACACTGTCATAAAAGGAATGACTGCAATAGATAAAGTATGGCCAAAAAAAGATGAATTTGTTTAAACCAGTTATAACAGCACTTTACATAAACTCCTGCAGCCTTTTCCCTATGAACATTATCAAATTAACTATTCTATCCCAATATTTAATCAGTCCTGGGTATCACATAAGCTTCTACGAGAAGCTAGTGTCTGTAACTCAGCCTGCTCCAAAAACAAAGGCTTTGCTACATAGCTCTTTCCATGTCACCCAGAGATGAAACTTAGAATCTCAAAGACTGCTTTCCCTGGTGATTTAAAAAATGTTCATCCCTCAGCCATGGATGGAGCTGTGGATGTCCCTGTTCATTGCTAGGGATTTGGACAAGATGACCTTTAGAGGCCCCTACCACCACAAATGAGTCCATGGACATCACCAGCACAGTAACATCAGAGACACTGCAACTTCTGACAGCCAAGGTCAGCTGTTTTACTTCCATATCCTTAAAATACAGAAGGTGAGTTTTTCTACCCACCGCCCCTCACTTCTCTAAGCAGTGGGAAATTGCTTAAGCACTTATCAAAGGTATTAAAACTGTCCCTCAGCATTACCTGCAGCTCCTGCTGTGAGATCAATAGCAGCCTGAAGAGCAGAGTTGATCCTCATGCTTCACACTTGTTTATTGATTATTGCAGAGTGAAAAGTCTCCAGATTCCTGGAAGGCGTCAAGATATTTTCCCCCTGAGGTAAAAGTGAGATGAAGCACACCCAGTTCACAACAATAATTGACAAGCAAGAATATGACATGAATGCTTTTGTTTCCACTCAGCTTGTTTCATGGTAGTTGGGAACAGAGAATGCCTGTCCCCAGAGCTAAACCAAAACGTAGCAAACCTGTACTCTGATTACTTCTGCCATATTAGGCAAACCCTCTGGAGTATCGCCACTTAGCTTCAGCTTATTTCTGCTTTCCAGTTTCTAGAACTCTTGGATCTCTCACATAAAGAGAAAGAGTAGCTCCAGGGAACACTGTTGACTATTACCTTTCTACTGATTACAGAAGCAGCATCTCCATCAGGTGTCCGATGCCAACCAGCAGGAATAACTACTTGTCTTGGCTCCCTGGCTATAAAGCAAAATAGATTGCAAAACTGTTCCACTCACAGTGAACAGCAGCTCAAGAACTATATGCATGATCACACAGATACACGCACATCAAGTATTTCTGTGTGGCTTTCAGAAGATACAAGTGGAAAACTGAATACGAACATCTAGAATTGCATCCAGCTGGTCCAGCTGACATGTTCCCACTGCAAGTTCTTACACAACTACATATTATAAAGTAAAATAAGAATTATAGCTCATCTCTCAGGAAGGCAGCTGGAAAGCAGAAATACAAAGGCAACAGTTTCAAAGAAAACATTCAAAAGAATTCAGTTTTCAAGCTTGCAGCAAGGTAATTTCGCTGGGTGAGCTGTTAAGACAAGCCTGCTCATTTGGAGTAATTTGGAGTAAGAACAGTGAGCCAAAGAGCTCCCACTGTTTCCGAATCAGCGCCTCATTGACTGGTGAGCTTGTCTTCACACAGAGTAAACAGTATTTTCTATTCTTCTACCCACTGTGGTGCTTCTTTTGAAGCCTGTTGTTACCCAAACCATATTCCTGAGTAATATAAAGTGAAAATACAACTTCCTGTAAGTCACCTTCCACGACTTAGAAAAGACACTGTACAAAACATCATTTTTACATCCTCCTTGTTACAAGCATGGGCATTCAAGTACAAACAAGGCTTTAAGAAAATCTGTCTCTGAACGTGTTTGTTATTCATGGAGCTTAAGAAAGAAGTAGGGCAAATACTGTCACTCAGTGAATTTGCATATTTCACCTGTTTAGATGCACTGTGTGAATCCACAAAAAATGGGTTAAAAAAAAAAAACAACAACCAAAACAACAAAAACAAACCCTGATTTTGTAATAAATGACACCAATATTTCAGTATTTCTATGGTTACAGATTAGTGCTGACACAGGCTGCCCAGAGAGGTTGTGGATGCCCCGTCCCTGGAAGTGCTCAAGGCCAGGTCGGATGGGGCGCTGGGCAGCCTGGTCTGGTATTAAATGTGCAGGCTGGCGGCCCTGCATTCAGCAGGGGGTTGGAGCTTCGTGATCCTTGAGGTCCCTTCCAACCTGGGCCATTCTGTGTGAACTGTTTCACTTCTGATCACACAATAAACTTGATGTTCATTACAAAGCAGAGGCTCTAGGACCAAGCTGCACTCATTATTCCTCACACCTCATTAGCGTTCATACAGCACTCCACAGCATTGCTTCTCACTTGGAGAAAGTGCAGAAAGGCAGATTAGTGAGGCAGCCTCTGAATGAAGGGAATTACCAAACAGCAACCACCACGAGCCTTCAGCAGAAGGCATCATGCTGAGCGCTATCAGCTTGTGCCAGTCACCAGAGCAGCACATGCCACCGAATGCTTGGCAGCAAAAGGAACAAAGAGGGAGGTGAGAGTATGAAAGTTCCACAAGCCCATGATTACTAAGAGCACGCTGCCACTTAAGTCTTTTGAAAGAGTAGTCAAAACTGCAGTTATTACACATGCACGTACCTACTCCTGCGTCTTCTTTGTGATTACACGACCCTATTACAAACTGCTCGTGGACATGCCGAATTAACGACCGTTCTGCCACTTCTACAGCAAACCCTGAGCTCGGACCTGCAAACACAGAAGCATCAGCGAGCTCAACAGGTCCGCAGGGCCTTCACCCCAACCCCACACACGTCACCTCCCCACGCCCGACCCGGAGGAGCTCCGAGGGCAGAAGGTGACATCGGGTCGCCGCTGCCAAGGTCAGAGCGGCCCCACGTGCAGCGGGACACGCCGGACTCAGTCCCGGCAGGCTGCGGCGGCTGCTCATCGCCAGCCAACCGGCGTAGAAGGGTGCGCGTGAACGGCCACCTCCGGCGCGCTCGGGACGAGGGGAGGAACCGAAGGAGGAACGGAGGAAGCCCGCACCCGCCGCTCCGAGCCGAGCCCCGGGTCCGCCCGGCGCCGCAGGCCGCGGGGAGCCGGCTGCCGCCCAGGACTCGCTCCGCTCCGCGCCTTCGCCTCCCGCCTCAAGCTCTGGGAAGCGGACAAGGCCGGCCCACCCCCCCCAGTCGCCGCCACTCACCGCAGCGCCCAACCGCCCCGCCGCCGCCCTTATTTAGGCGACGGGGTAAGGCGGCGTGGCCCCCCCGCGGCCCCGGGAAGGCACGGGCCGGGCGGGCGGTGGGCGGGACGCGGTGTCCCCGGCGGCCTTCCCCGCGCCCTCTGTCGTGCGGCGGTGGCTGCGTTTGCTCGCGGCTCTGATTCACGCACCGGTGGAGCCTGGGGACGGGGCCTTGGGGTCGCCGGGGAGAGCGCGCACGGCGGGGGGCGCCTCCCACAGTGGAGGTTGCGGGTCCCGGAGCATCGTCCCTCGTGCCGTCCCCCGGTTCCGGGAGCTGCGGGACGCCGCGTGGCTCCACGTGGTGGGGAAGGATGGAGGGAAGCGGCCTTGTGGAGCTGTGCTCCTGGTGTGTGCGCACCGCCACGCAGCATCCTGCAATTTGGGTCACGCGGAGCGTCATCCTCCACTCATCTTCTGTCAGCTTTATTCCATCTGTCTTAAAAAATAAAATAAAATGGCACTGAGGTAGGAATTAATCACCCAGAGATAAGACAGAGTTATTTCCCTGGGAACCACAACAGGCACGTGCTTGAACAGGACGTGTTTACTTTCCTGCTTGATTGCAGTTTTTGGCATGCTTATTATTGAAACAGCACGGGAGAAGGGAAATTATCATGTGGCCATTTGTTTGTATAACAGTTAATGGAAAAAAAAAAACCAACCAAAAACGGCTGTTACCTCTTTGCTAAAATACAAAATTCCCCATACGCTTAACATGTGTTAATGCACAAATTATTGTGGAAATACAAGCTGAAAGGTTCTCCTGTTCTGAAGTTTGCTGACAGCTCTGGCTATACTTGCACATGCAAGCCAGTGGCATGTTGAATATGGACAGACATCCATCAGCAGTTTGCTGCAGGTCAAATGACTCCTCCTAAGATGTCCCTTTATTGCTTCTAAATTTTTGGCAATTTGAGGTAGAATATAATGGTTCAAGCAACATGGGGAGGACTAACATCACTTCCTTCTACTGAAACCATGCAAAGCTCCTTTTCCTCCTTTTGGTTGAGAATTAATTGAAATGCCTACAATCAGGCTCTTCCGAAGCTGTGCCAAGCTGAAAACAACAGGACACAGTATAGCCCACGTGTATTTTCATGCCTTGAGACATACAGACCTTCCATCTTAGATACAGTGTTTTCTCCTCGATAAAACTGCTCCCGTTTTGAGAGCCCAAAGCAAAGAAAATGACTTGGGGCTAATCTTCAAAATGTGGCAATTATTAAAGAAGAGCAGACTTACCAAATTGTGAATTTTTTACTTGAGAGTAGAAATAATAGCTGGGTCTTTGGTAACCGTTTAGTGACAGCAGGTTAATTGTGCATCTCAAATGATCTGCAGCAGATTACTGTTTAATTGCAAGGAATTTTCAGCTGTGTTGACTTTTTATTTTTAGTAGAACTGAAGTGCTGTTGGGAGATCCAATTGGTGAGAAATATCTAATGCCTACTGCAGTGGGGACAGTGACTAATTTGCCATTAGAAATACATGTTGCCTGCAGTTGCAGTTTGTCAGCTCCATCATCAGATCTTGGGTGTTTCAGGATGATTATTCTGGGAAAGACCCCATTGTAGCCTTCCAAATACTTAAAGGGAGCTTGCAAGCAGGAGGACTGACTTTTTGTGTGGTCTGGTAATGATAGGACAAGGGAGAATGGCTTTAGACTAAAGAAGGGAGACTTAGATTAGATGTTAGGAATACATTTTTTACTCAGAGGTGGTGAGGCCCTGGCACAGCTACACAGAGAAGCTGTGGGTGCCCCACAGCTGGCACTCAAGGCCAGATAGGATGGGGCCCTGGACAGCCTGAGCTGCTGGGTGGCACTGCCCATGGCATGGGTTGGGACTGAGTGTGCTTTAGGTCCCTTCCATCCTGAGCCATTCTGTGATTTTATGGTTGTTCAGACCCCCAGTCCTGGTGGGATGTGTTTGAGATACAGCATGAAAGGTATGAAGTACTGGAGATGTTGCGTGGGAAAGTTTAGAGCTGTGAAATGCAGCGCTGCAAGGAGCACATTGCCACCATGTGGTTCTCTGTGTTACTTGCACTGCTTTTTATAAAGCCCAACGGTAACTTCTGCGAGGGTTTCCTTGCAAAATGCATTCATTTCCATTCTGCAGGATCCCAGTGTCCCAGCTCGTGGGCCCATCTCCAGTCAACCACAGGAAGATCATTTATTCCCTAGAAACTAGTTTGCCTTTCCTTAGTTCATCCAAGAAGATGAACACCAGCTTTTCTAAAGTGTCCTCCTGGAACAGCAGCAGAAGCTGCGTGAGACCACCAAAACTCACCCAGTTACATGTAGAGGTAAATCAAGCCATGCAATGCCACATGGGGGTTGCACAAGGAGCAAAAGTAAGATTGTTTCTGCATCTCAGGCCTTATATAGGTGATGGCAATCTTAATACTGAACGAATGCTGCAAGTAAAAGAACAGAGTTGGCCTTTCCAGTGTAGGTTGCAATCGATGAAGTGAAAGTCTGGGAACAACTTTGTACCATGTATTTAGGAGGGATGTTTGGTCTGCTGGACTAGACAGAACCTAAAGCAAAATAGACTTCCTGGGACAGAGGTGAGGATCCTCAGTATCGGACATTTCAGTCTGTGAGTCCATTTCTGCTGCACCAAATTAATTATTGGCATAGGCAGTCCTGTCACCTTGGGAACTGCAGAGCTGCCTGGACTGAGGCATATTTCTAGTAAGCATGGAGACTGACTCACTACAAGTTTATCTGGAAGCACTGTGCTGGGGGAATAACACAAGTATGGGGGAAAATGTACATATTGTTGCTATAGAGGATCACTGTGAGCAGAGGACCTGGCTGCAGTCAGCATTTTGTCATTCAGGACCTGCTTGCGGTGACTCTAAAGCAATAGTGAACATGTCGGTAAATGGTGGGTAAACAGGACATAATGCAGAACTGTGTAAATGGGCAGCTGAAAACCACCAAAATAGTTTGGATCAGATTTGATGACACAGACACTGCTGTCATGTTACTTAATTTAGGGTGAAATTACTGCTGATTCCAATCATAGGATCGTAGAATCATGGACTCATTAAGCCTGGAAGATCATCTAGTCCACCATCCCACCATGCCCACTAAATCCTGCCCCTCAGTACCACATCTACACATTTCTTGAACAGTTCCAGAGATGGTGACTCCACCACCTCCCTGGGCAGCCTGTTCCAATAATAATGTGCAAGTAGGTCTTCAGAGGAACATTCATCTTCAGTGAGAGAACTGTCTTTCCATATTTTATTTTCTATACATTGACCACAAAATAAATCAGGTTTCTTAGTTTGCTTAATATTGATATTAACCATAAAATGCATAACGTTTCTCATGCCTCTACTAGTACTCATCATCTGCCTTTAGTAGCCATCCACAGTTTTTCCAGTTATTCTACTTCTCTTCTACATCTCTAAATTTTGAAGGAAGAAAGGAAAGAGTTTTAGACAATTTTTTTTTCCCAGACAACTTGCACATGGAATGGTTCTTGCCTAAAACATGCAGCAAGAAAGATACCATCAAGCCACAGTAAATCAGTTAAGAGAGGTGTAGTGGAAATACAGGGCTTCTGTGTTCCAAGGTGAAAAAGTCACCTGGAATTTGCTATTCCATACAATAGGAAAAAAAAAAAAGCACAGCAAAACTTAAGAGGACAAAAAGCACACGTACAAGTGAGTACTGCCAACAGTCAGACAGTTTGAGGAAACTGGCCAACAACAGCAATTCCCAGTTCGTTGGGTTTTTGTTTCCAGTTTGGTTTCTTTGAGATGTAGGCCAGACCCAATATTTTCTTTTAGTTTCTGGTACCTCTGAAGCTCCTCTGATCCTTTTCAGTCAGATCAGGATTCTTGTTAGCATTTGTGCTCAGAGCTGGATCTTTCCTCAGCAACAGCAGAAGGCCTCAAGTCAGATCTACTGCATGTGTCCATCCCTGAGCTGGGCACCCCAAAGCCGTTATTAAAGAACCATAGAATGGCTTAGGTTGGAAGGGACCTTAAAATCATTGAGTTCCAACCCGCTGACATGAGCAGTGCCACCCAGCAGCTCAGGCTGCCCAGGGCTCCATCCGAGCTGGCCTCGAGCACCTCCAGAGATGGCGCAGCCACAACCTGCTTTTTGGAATTTAAATCAGCTGCTGGCAAAACAATCAAGAAATACGTACTTAATAGTCAGGTAAGCAGCACTAGTGGCCACTCTTCTGTTGTGGCACGGTTGGTGGATCCAGAACCAACTTAATGACTGCCCAGGGGTGGAAGTAATGCGAGCTATCTGACAGAGACGCAAACTTGACAAAAAGGAGCCACTTTTTCTCCACGAAACCCAATTAGGGGTAGGTGCTGCAAGGTCGGGCAGGCTCATCCCGAGGTAAATCCTAAGCTTTATGTGCCCTTAGCCCACCAGGAGTCCAACCCTACGGGAAAAACTACTTAACGTGGAGGTTTACACCGTTCGAAGCTCTGCTGGGGCCCCAAGACCACAACCCCGACGTCACCCCGCCCATCCACGGCAGCGGGGCCGGGCGGAACGCCGTGGCGCGGAACGCTCGGCGCAGCTCCCGTTCCCGGCCGGCGGCGCTGAACGGACGACGCGCCTGCGAGCGCCGCGCCGAGGGCGGCATGTGGGGTCGCTTCCGCGGCTCCGGCCGCCTCCTCTTCCTCGCCGGGGCAGCGCGGCGCTGCGGGCGGCCTCACAGGTACCGGGGAGTGGGAGTCGCCTCAGCGTTATCGCGGGCAGGTGGCCTGCCCGCGCTGCTGCCTTGAGCTGGGCCTTGCGGTGAAGGCAGTCGGCTTGCGGCCGTGGGCCTGTGCCCGGTTACGGGCTGCTACCCGCGGCGCTCGGGCGGGCGGGAGGAACGGAGAGAAGCGGGGTGCCGCTGGCTCCGTGTATTGAGGGCTTCGCAGTCTTGGTGCCTGAGTTTGATCCAGTGCTGTAGGCAGAGATCTCCGAATGGATAAATAGTTGTACAGAGCATGCAGTTAATGGAAAACACGTTTGGAGAAAGATCTGTGGGAGCAGCCCCGTGTAAAACAGCAGGGAACCTGTTGTCCTGTAATGCGGCTCTGAAGCTTTGTGAGAATCTTCCTGTTCCTATCAGCGTTTAAGGTTTAACGTTAATCGTTTGTTGTGAGTAATTTACTAAGTGCAGAGTGAAGTAGTAATGGAATGGAGACCTCGGTACAGGAGAGACGTGGACCTGTTGGAGTGTGTTCCAGGGGAGGGCCACAAAAATGATCCCAGGGATGGAACACCTCTCCTACCAGGACAGGCTGAGAGAGCTGGGGCTGTTCAGCATGGAGAAGAGAAGGCTGCGAGGTGACCTGAGAGCAGCCTTTCAGTATCTAAAGGGGGCTGTAAAAAGGAAGGGGACAGACACTTTAGCAGGGTATGCTGTGACAGGATAAGGGGGAATGGTTTCAAACTAAAGGAGGGGACATTTAGATCAGATGGAACGAAGAGGTTTTTTACAATAAGGGTGGTGAGGCAGTGGCACAGGTTGCCCAGAGAGGTGGTGGATGCACCATCCCTGGAGGCATCCAAGGTCTGGCTGGATGGGGCTCTAAGGACCTGATGGAGCTGTAGGTGTCCCTGTTCATTGCAGGGCAGTTGGACCAGAGGCCTTTAAAGGTCATTTCCAACTCAAATGATTCTGTGACGCATTTCCTAATACAGCTGCATAAATGCTTGGCTGCTGTGTTGCAGATCCTAGGTTTAACGTGAACCTTAGCAGTCCTGCAGATGCAAAACAAAGTGAAAATACAGCGTATATACAGACTGATGTTGTCAAATCTCTTTTTCTGAGGGGTGGGAGTTAGGAGTAATAAACACAGAAATAAATAAAAGTTTAGTAGTAATAAATTCAGGTGTTAGGTATGAGTTGCTTTTTGTAATTGGCATGCTTTTTTTAAATTTTGTTTTGTTCTGGCTTTTTTTTAACAGGCCTGTGATTTTATTATTATTTTAATTTAGGCTTACAAAACTGCAAGTGATTCATTCAAATTCATGTTTATAAGGTCACAATCTGTAGCACTGAATAAAGCCAACACCAGCAGTAGAAGGTAGAAACCACAAACTCTGTCTGCAGCCTAATGTAGAGGTACTCAACACTTCGTTCAGAGATTAAGCACAGTTTGCTTGTGAAGGGAATAAAATCATTTACGTGCTTTTTGTGCTGAAGGAACTATAAATTGCTAAGAGTTGAAAATAGTGCCTTGGTCTTTCTCAAAGAACAAAAAAATATGTTTCATATGTACTTAACATAGACACGATTTGTTTGCACACAGTTAAGCCTAGACAGTTGTAAGTAATGGTTTTGGTTTTTTGTTTTTTCAGCCTTGGAGTGTATTAATAACTTCCATTTTTTTTTTCCTCAATTTTCTGTGTTATTTAGCAGACTCTTCAGCACTAGTAGTGTGCTCTCTACTACAAAAGATGAATCTACTGCTTCCACAGACAGCACCACCAAAGCGGCATCAAAGGAGGGTGCAGCAGAAACACCAAAGCAAAAATTGCTAAAAATTATTGGTGATATGAAAGTAGAAGTGACCACCAAGAGGAAATTTCAAGAATTAAAAGAACAGGAGATCAAAAAGCAAGCCACTAACAAGCAGGAAGGCCTGGACAGTGAAAGTAGCACATTTCAAAATACTGCAGAAGACGTTCAGCGGTAAAGTATAACGTGTGCACTTGGAACAGTTTTTTTTCCCCCACCATTTTTTTTTTTATCATTATCTAGGACAAAATAAAGTGTCAAATGCTGTTACCAAATATGGAAAAGAATCTTGTAAGAGAATGTGGTATATGAATGTGGTTTTCAGTAAATCACATGAGAGAATCTGGACAAAAGATGTGTGCTTCTTACAATATCCTGCATTCTTCTGTGCTGAGGCTCTTGAAAGCACTAGAATTTGTCTGTGGAAAGTTTCTTTAATGGGAGGAAGGAAATATTGTTTAGATAAAATGTGATGAGGAAAAAGGAAGAACAAAATAAGGACAGCATCATGATTTTGTGCGTGGAACCCCTCCACAATAACCCCTCCACTGCAGGTCAGTGCTGCTTGTGGTCATCAGCGTTTCACTTCTGACAGGCTTTGCAGTTGGTATAGCTGCCGTTTTCCCCAGGCTGAGAAGAGCAGCCTGTCAGTCTCATTTGGCAGTAGATTAATGAAATGTAAGACAAATCAGACCTTCCCTCTGTTTACCTACGGCCCCTTTGGGATTATTTGCAGCTGTGATCGCTGAGATGGGAAGATATAAAATGACAATACAGAAATGACAGTTTTAATATATTATGGCTTTTTTTTTTTTTTTTTAATATATATTTCCCTATTTGTTGTATCTCTTACAGAAGCAAACCTTTAAATCCAGAACTGGTGCAGGCTGCATCTGCCGTTGCATCTTCTTTCCCACGCAGCAAGGAACAGGCAGAATCAGAATTACTTGCACAACTTAGAAGACATGAAGAGACCACAGATAAACAGAGAAGGGGAGGAACTATTAACATACGGTCCGTATACTGAATGTTATTTTCAATAATACTTGAAATTCTGATTTTGCAGTGTCATCGTGAAGGTTACTAGATTCTCTTTTAGAGAGATGGCCCTAGAAGATAAATTTGGACCTATTATCCATGGAATTAATGAGTAATGGAGATATCATTGGTCTGGTTATACCAAACCTCTTAAGTTTTGGCACCCTCGTTCTAAAATGTTTTTGCAGAAACGGAATTGTTTTCCTGCCCAGGATCATTATTTTCTTGGATAGGTTAGCAAAGCCAGTGGGGTTTTTTTTTTTTTTTTTTCAGCTTCCGAAATTTTCACACAATGGAGGGACTTGTGGACGTTTCAGACATTCTGTCTGGACCAGTGAGTTTTCATGACAGGTTTGAAGAACTGGACTGTACCAGTGCAGCTCTATTTATAGCCCCACCCTTCCTTTCCAAACTTTCCAGTCAACCCAAGAAACTCATCACTTGGCTCTGCTCCGTTTCCAGTGTGGCTTTCAAACAGATGAGAAACATTTGTTTGGAAACTTGAATGGTTGTGTGTGTATTACACTTCTTTGGGACGACAGCTAAATACAGGCTTTCTGTTGTCTTTTTTATCTGTTCGGTTTGTATTCATACAACTGCTCAGAAAATAAGGCATTAAATCGGGGTGAAATGTTGAACTAAGCAGAAAACTGGATCTTCAGCAAAAGAGGAATATGAAATCTTGATGGCTTTTTGCAGGGTGGGAAGGAAAGGAAAGGAAGGAAAGGGCAGAAACTTGGCAAGATTTCCTTCCAGCCTGAATTCAGGATTTTCTACCTAGATTGCTAGTTGTGGAGAGCAGAATGGAATTCTCTTCAAGTGTTTGAAGTCCATGTTGTAGGTGGACGTATTGGTTTTGGGTAATGTACACAAGCACCTCCAAAAGTTGTGTGTATGATGTTTTCATGACCTCTCCTGAGGCTGAGTGAAAGCAATCTTGAGAATTTGATAGAAGTTATCTCCATGGGCTTTTGGAGCCAAAATGAGATCAGAAATATGAGTGTTTTAAGTAAAATCAGTGTGTTTCTGCTCTTTTTTTGGCTTGTTTTTTGGGCAGTGTTGCAAAAAGCTGAGACGTTTCCTAATTACGAAGAATAAATGAGGAATGTTTTGTGTAAAGAATGTATTTGTTAAACTGATAATAACCAGTGGGGTTATTCCATTCCTATTGCAAGGGATTTTAGACAAGCAGGATAGAGAAATGTATTAATAGTGGCTTAGGCTGTGAGTTTACCAATTTAAATGTAATTAGAATATTAATTCCTGATAAGATGTTGGAGGGTCATGCTATTACTGACCAAGCTAATAAATGCAGTGGTTAACCTCAAGTGCACCTGTGCCTGTTTATTGAGGCGTGCACTCTAAATTTGGTTGTTTTGCTTACTGGCAACAATGGCTCTCTGTCCTCACCAGTCACTATGCTTGTCCTGAAGCACATACCAGCTGTGACTGCTGTGGAAAAAAGAAGGTGTCTAAGGAAGCTGTAGTCTAAGCAGAGAGACTTTTCTTTTTTTTTTTCTTTTTTTCCTGCTGAAAGAGAGTTTAAATTCTACGAGCATTCAACAGCCAAAGTTCCTGCATTGTTCTGTGTAGTTGATGGATACGTTAAGATGTGATCGTACATTTATCCTTCAGTGAGCCTGTGGATAAATTGTTAAGGTTAGAAAAATGTGGATAGAGCGTTTTTAGTTGGTTAGGAAGGTCATGATGAGCTTGCTATGCTTTGGGTTGGCAGTTTCTTCTACTCGTGATGGCAGCTTGGTGAATTACTTTTTTTCCACATGGAAACACGAAAGGTTCTGTTTATAGTTAGGTAACAGTACGAAACCAGCAGTAGATGAGTTGTGTAGAAGGATCAGTAACTTGCTGATTATCATGACTGATTCTAACCTTTTGTGGTTGGAATTTGAGACTCATTTGTTACTTTTAGCTATCTGGTCAGTTTTAAAAACGTTGATTTGAAAGGTCCAGTTGATTTCATTCATGCCTCTTGGGCAGGAGTTCATTCTGCAAAAGTGCCTCAGTCCACATACAACATTGGAGTCCTTTTAATGTATCAGAAAGTGTTTCTTTGTTTTTCCCAAATAAAAATCAATATAAAATAATCATGTCTGAATCAAAAGGAAATGTGGGCCATTGAACTTTTTTTTAAAGTATAAGGTTTTGCATTCAGCATACTGACAAATTAAAAAAAAAAAAAAAAAAGAAAAAAAAGAAAAAAAAAATTCCTCTTTTATTTAAAACAATTCTTAAGATGAGATACCTTCACAAGTGTTGTCACAGAGCCATTGAATCTCTTGGGTTGGAAGGGACCTCAAGGATCATCAAGTTCCAGTCCTCCTGACACAGGCAGGGCCACCAACCTCCACATTTAATACCAGACCAGGCTGCTCAGGGCCCCATCCAACCTGGCCTTGAACACCTCCAGGGACAGGGCATCCACAACCTCTCTGGGCAGCCTGTTCCAGCACCCCACCACTCTGTATAAAAAAACTTCCCCCTGTCATCCAATCTAAATTTTCCCTCCCTCAACTTAAAACCATTCCCCCTCATCCTGCTGTTATCTACCTTTGTTAAGAGTTGACTCCCATCCTGTTTGTAGGATGTTTAGGTACTGGAAGGAACCACATAATGCCCAGTTGTGGAAAAATTGGGAGACTATTGAGATTTTTGAGGGTATGAGATGTGTATTTTCTGGATCTTTTGGTTTGTGTGTGTCCTAACCTCCAGAGGTCAGTGTTACACAGCTGTCTCGTTGTCTTGTTGTGTAAACGTGTGAGGACAGCGTGTTCACAAGAAGGGGAAAATATTAATGATACAGGAATTTATTTTTCTTGGTGTGGAATGAAGTTTCACTCAATGGAAATTACAACAGCACTGTACCAAAATAAAACCAGTGGCAATACAAGTTGAAATTTCAGCTCCTGTTCTGGTTAAAGAAAATAAGTAATTGGAACTTAAGGCTAAAACAGATGTTAAGCTTCCTGAGTCTTTGTTTTTGGTGTTATAATTAATGGTAGTCAGGAAAGATGGAGAATCTGTGTTGATTATAAAAGCTCAATTTCTTCTCATCTCTGGAAGGCAGAGGTAACTGGGAATTTAGATTCTTAACCTCATGCTGGGATGTGAGGTTTTATCATGTAATATCTAACCACTGTACATACTCGGGTTGGAGTATGAATTTGTTATCTGATGTTTTTCATTATAGGCAGTGATTAAAAACATCTTTGTAGATTTATTTTTAGGGAATAAAGGGGCATCATTAGTTACGGAGTGATGAGCACTGCAGCCAGTAATGTTCATGTACCAGCAAAGGGGTGACATTAGGACTTTCTGATCAGAAACACGAGATCGTTGACTGCATGTGCTAAATAGTTTGGTGGCATAGTCTTTGCAGAAGGAAGTATGAGCCACTGTGCAAAAATGCCACTAAATCAACCTCTGTCACGAGGAGAGCTTCTTGGAGGATGCCTCATCCCCCCTGTAGCATGGGGAATACCACAGCCAAACTGAGCAGTTGGCCTCGGCCATGTGTGACCTTAGGAACTATATCTGCTTGACCCTCAGAAGTGTGTTGGGTCTCTAGCCCCCTGATACCTCTAGACGTTTCACAGAACAATTTGTAGTGTGAGATACACAGGTAACCTGAGATAGTTCACTTTAACCTTAAAGAAAAAGAAGATTTCAACCCTTTTTTGCCTGATGCCTTAGAGTAGGTACTTGAAGAGCTATGCTACTCTTGGTCTGATGTTTAAAACTGCACCTAAGACTGAAGATAAAATCCCACTGCATTGCTGTGGCAGATTTTATGATTTCCAAGAAGTATTTCTTGTTAATAAAATCTCTTTTAACTTAAGGTAACAGAACCAGCAAGGGACAGTGAATGGGCAGTATTTTTTTACTTAGGCTTTATGTATTAAAACTTGAGTACTGCAATTTTGGCTGCCTGCACGTTATTGGAAGCAGCTGGGAGAAAGGGATAGCTGTGAGGAATAATCTCCTTGGTCTTTCCCAACCAACGGGCATAGCAGTTAAGGGACTTATTTGACAGGGGCAGATATGTTGTATGTTTTAGCCTTTATGTTCACTATAAACTGCAAACTGCACTGGCGAAGATAAGAGTGTTTGTTCTTCGTATATGATCTTGGCTGCAGGATTACAAAGGAAGATGAGGTTTGCAAGTGCTGTAATGTGATTATGCAATGCAGCAGATTGCAGTGGATCAGGAAAGGTGACCTACTTATTAGGGTGGCATGATTGACCCATGTCAGCTGATGTGTGAAAGCAAGCTTCCTTTCAGTGTGTAACAGCGCAGCTCTGTCCCTGGGCAGAGTTGATTCCTCTCCAGTTTTTTTTTTTACCTCCCTGCTTCAGCAGATTCCTTGTATCTTGAGAACGTTCTCATGTACTTGAGCAAAATGTACCTAGTACACTCTGTGAAAACAGATATGCAGATTATGAAATGGTAGTTTTCTTGTAGTTGGAAATGAGATAATTTCAAAGAAAGTATTAATTGTAGGCTAAAATACCGCTTTCAGTTCTTACATTCTATATGTAGATGGTTTAAAAAGTAATGCTCGATATTAGGATGACTTAAAAATAGGTGCATTTTGTGAGGAATGTATTAATTCTGTCTTAACAGAGACTTTTAAACCAATGGAGAGTAGACTTTCTGCTTAATAAATGTGATAAGCTTCTTTTCCCTGTCAGTTTGTTGAGGTTTCTATGTTTACATTTTTAATTTCAGCAATGTTATTTCGGAAATGGCAGTTAAGAGGCAATCCCCAGCTCAGAGAGGTGTGAGGATATCCAGTCGCATCTCCTTGGAGATGGATGAAGATGGTCAAAGAATCAAGCTTGGAAGATCTCTCTCCTTTGACTCCGGAAGGTACTTTTGTAGTGTTACTTTCCATCTCTCAGAGGAGGAACGTGTGAAAAATTACTAATGGGTAACATAGGGGAATCAACTTTTTACTCAGGTGGACAATGATAGGACAACGGGGAGTGGTTTTAAGCTCAAGGAAGGAAGGTTCGGATTGGATATGAGCTGTTTGTGTTTTAAAGTTTTTTTTTTTTTTTAGAGTGTGGGTTTTTTTTGTTGCTGTTGTTTTGTTTGTTTTCAGTGTTTACTACCACGTTGCAACTGGCAAGTCATTCTGTGGATAATTTCTTTATTGCCCATGGTAATTGTCTATAGAGTGAACTTCTCAATTTACATGATGATTTCAGGTTACTCTGTAAGCTCTTGCTGCTCTTTTACCTGGCCAGTCTATCTCTCAGTCCGTGCCTGCATTCTTTTTATTTTCCCATCGTAACTCATGATTGCATTTCTTTTCAGCATATTCTTTCTGTGGCAGTTCTGTTTTTAGTAAGATTAACTTCTTTAGTCATAGCCTTGCAAATTAACCTCACTTTCTTGGAGATCTGGAAGTTGAGGAATTCATTTGTGTTTAGAATCATAGAATCATGGAATCACTCAGGTTGGAAAAGACCTTAAAGATCATTGAGTCCAACCACAACCTGACCATCCTACCCTAACTCTAACAACCCTCTGCTAAATCATGTCCCTGAGCACCACATCCAAATGGTTTTTAAACACATCCAGGGATGGTGACTCAACCACTTCCCTGGGCAGCCTATTCCAGTGCTTAACAGCCCTTTCTGTGAAGAAGTGTTTCCTGATATCCAACCTAAGCTTACCCTGGCACAACTTGAGGCCATTTCCCCTCGAAAACAGACCAGCCCCACTCTCGCTGTAAGCACCTTTCAGGTATTGGAAGGGAGCAAAGGTGGATAATGCTGGAGAAAAAATGTGGAGAACTAAGAACAACATGAGCATAAAGTTGTAGCTGAAGGTGTACATTGTTCTGCCCGCTTTGGCTGAGACGTCTATTTGAGTATTTTGTAAACAGAGTTCTGACTTCCACAAGGAACAAAGTGGAACGTAAGCACTGAGCCATGTAGATAATGCAAAAACCTCAGAGAAGATTCTATAGCCAGTCATTAGAATAACTTGGCCTGCTAGTTGAAATGTTCCTATGTAACTTCTTTTTTCTTGAGATGCCAAGCCATTAAGGTTAGGGAATTATCTCTTGGGACTTGTTTTAAGACCGGCAAGCAGTGTTTGCCTTTCTTGATAAAAAGCATGTAAAAGTGCAAGAGTTCTTGTGCTGGGAGCTGAAGAGAAGTGGAATGAGGTTCTAGACCAAGCCCTTCACAGCTCTGCTGTTTTTCTCTTGGAATTTTCATTCAGCTACGAGCTGTCAGCCTACAGAGTGAGGTAACAGCCTTCGTTATCGCTTGCTGAATAATAGCTTAAAAGATATCTTTAATCTGGGGGTAATTATCGGATGAGTTGGTAGTCAGATGATAGTGATTTTGTTATTAGGCTATGATTCTTAGGTAATTGGATGGAATACTTGTCTTAAGGTGTTGGATTAGAAGTTTTTCAAAGTTTAAGAATGGAAATAATGTGAGCTATAAGAATATACCAAAAACCTGAGCTATTACGTGCTTACATGGTGTGCATTTTTTTTATTTATTAATATATGGCAAAGTAAAGCAAATTTGAAGAATGTTTACTAAACTTATGGTATCACAGAATCACACAGAACAGCCCAGGTTGGGAGGGACCTAAAGGATCATCCAATCCCCATGCCACATGCAGGGCCACCCAACCTCCAGGCTGCCCAGGGCCCCATCCAACCTGGCCTGGAACACCTCCAGGGATGGGGCATCCACAACCTCTCTGGGCAGCCTGTTCCAGCACCTCACCACTCTGTAAAAAAAAATTTCCCTCTGATTCCAACCTAAATCTTCCCTCCCTCAACTTAAAACCATTTCCCCTCATCCTGCTATTATCTACCTTTGTTAAGAGTTGACTCCCCTCCTGTTTGTAGGATCCTTTTTAAGTACTGGCAGGCTGCAATGAGGTCACCCTGCAGCCTTCTCTTCTGCAGACTGAACAAAGCTCAGCTCCCTCAGCCTGTCTTTGCAGGGGAGGTGCTCCAACCCTCTGATCATCTTGGGCCCTCCTCTGGACCCTCTCCAACAGCTCCCTGTCTTTCTTGTATTGGGTGCCCAGACCTGGACACAGTACTCCAGATGGGACCTCATGAGGGCAGAGTAGAGGGGGACAATCGCCTCCCCGTCCCTGCTGGCCACCCCTCTTCTGATGGAGCCCAGGATACCATTTGCTTTCCAAGCTGCAAGAGCTCACTGCTGGCTCATGTTCGTTTTTTCATCCATCAGGAACCCCAGGTCCTTCTCGGCAGGGTTGTGAGAAGCCCTTCTCGCTTTCTTTGTGTGATGAAATTTTACGTGCTTTAAAACTTGAGGAACAATACCTTGAAATAATTTTTAACATATCTGTAACTGTCTCCAGTTTCAGTTGTAGGTTTCCTTCTGCATCCCTGAATGTCTAACAGGTGTACTTATTGTTTGATAATATGCAAAGAATGGATTAGGGAGAATAGACTTACTGGGTTAGGAGATTTCAGTGACATGGCTGATTTGCTTTGTAGTAATTTGAACTAGTAATTTGAACTAGTCATCTTGTTCTTCCAAGTCATTCTTCTATCTTCAGCCAATGTTTTGGGGACTTAACACACAGGTAGGAAAATATAATCCTAAATCAACATTCTTTTAAGGGTTTGTAATTAGATTGCTCCGTGCTGAAGTGGATCCAGGGTAGTTACATCAGTAAAATGTGATATGACAAGAGCAGGTTTGCAGAAGTAGTTGTTGGCATTAGAAATCTGCAGTAAAACCAAAGAGGTGAAATTCTAAGGTCAAGAAAAGCAGATGTTGCCAGGGCAGCTGTGGATATGTATTAACGTTATGTGGGAACTGTTAGATCTCAGTGGGAGCCTACAAAACCAAGGACAACTGCATGATTAAAAGAATCATTTGTCCTAAGTTTCAGTGTATTCTACAGTAAAGGCATTGGTTTTCCTTAGTTTCTGTTTATATGAAAATTTACTTGGATTAGTCATTGAGCTCTTGGAATTTATATATTTTTTTTAGCATAGGCTCTTGCCTGTTTAAAAATAGAATAAAATATTTTCATACTCAGAAGGGAGAGCACCAGGGTGATGCTGTTTAAAATATATCATACAGATATGCTTTATATGTTTGCCATATGGCACAGGAGGTGGCTGTGTGATCTTCCAAAAAGGATATTTATGTCAGAAAGCAAGAATTGTTTGATTAAACTGTTGCCTTTTCTCTTCTCAAATTGTGTAATAATATTTACATTAAAAAAAAAACAATCACCAAATTCTCTTTTTAGTTACAACTTTGTGAAGTTACTGAGTGCTGTAGTTTGATACTGTTGAACTGCATTCAATTCCTAAATATTTCAGTAAAAAATGATTGCAAATATAATATTTGATTTATGCTCATTCTTTTACGCCGAAGTGTTTTGGGAAGCTCTGTTACAGAGTAATAATTCAGTCATAAACACTCTGTTAAAAGCCTGAGGATTTCGTGAGAGTCACTATCTCATTTTTTTTCTCCAGAGATCTGTTAGTTCATGAGAATATTTTGTGCTTTTACATTTTTTTTATCTGGCAATATTGTGAAGTGTTGTGAAATACCGAATATCACTTTTCTTTTTTGTTTATAGAAGTCTTAAAGCAGGAAAAAGGCTTAATATATTCACCAAGGCTTCTCCAGAAACGGAAAATGCGCTGAAAACAGGTTAGTGGAAATTCAGTGATTTAAAAAAAAAAAAAGCACCCAGTAGAGCCAAGTTGTGAATTTTTAGAATATCAAGGATTCAGTGTTGTGAAGGAGACTCTGACCTGTTCACTTCCTGCTTTTGGATCTGTAAAAAGAGAAATAATAATTTTAACATTACTCTACTTTTTAGCACGCTGTATCATGGGTTAGTATTTTCTGTACTAGTTGGAAAGGCCTGTTACGAGCTTGGGCAGCCTGGTTTAGTACCAGACCTCCAGAGTTTAGTACCAGATCTGGAGGTTGGTGGCCTTTGGTAGGGGAGTTGGAACGTGAACTCAGAGTCCCTTCTAACCCAAACCATTCTGTGGTTCTATGATTTGATGGCTAAAACTGACTTTTTGTCACTAGATTGGGCTCCTTTTGACAGTATTAAACCACTTTGGAGAATGGTTTTGTGGGTTCTGCTGGTGGATTTGTTTATTTCAAAGATGCCTTGCATTCATTTAATGACACAGAAACTCAAAGCTGTGATCTCAGAGCACAAAGTTTGCTCTACAGATAGCTAGGCCAGAGCACAGTGGAAACAAACTATAGTCTTATAGTTTATACAGAATGTTTTGTTCCTCTGGGGGCTTCTTTCATCTGCTGCTTTGTGTTGAAAGATCCTGTAGTGCCTGACAGATGCTTTGCTTTACCTGCTGTAGCTCATTCTTCATGTGTGTACACTTAAAATACACACCAAGTTAAACTCAAAAAGTGGAGGAATGGATATGATCAGATATGATCGACCTTTGTATTCACTGAAGGGCACAGTTCTGCAGGAAGAGCCTCAGTTTCAATGTAAACAGGATGAATTTCACACAAGAAGACTAGTATTGAATTATGACTTAGCTTTACTACAGACTGAGGGTGTGTGAATATGGGCAGGTCATTTAAAGTAGTCTCACTTGCTTTTGCTTTCTGAACAGTGAAACTCCATTCCTAGCACTAATCCTTAGTGTACTGATATCACTAAACTCTCCTGAGCTGCTTTGGAAAAATGGGTTATTGCAGTGTAATGACTTAAAACTGTACATAAAGGTAGCATTCATAGAAGAAAGATAATTCCTCTCTGGCATCTTAGAAAATGGTACTGATTTCTTTTTGTTTCAAGACTAGTAGTAGTTTTCTATTTTTTTGTTGTTGTTGTTTAACACTTGAAACTCCAGGGATAAAATAGTGAGTTTATTTTCTCCAGTCAAATGTCAGACAGTGATCTTTGCATAGATTCATGCAACTGTGAGCTTTCTGAATGCAGCTATTTCTATGTTGAATTATGAAAGTTGCTTTTTAAAATAGAATTGAATTTGCTATTTTTAAGGCAGTTGACTTCAAAGTCCATCAGTTTTTTGTGTGAAGCCACAGTGCATGCTGCAAGATGGTTTTTTTTTGTTTTGTTTGGTTAAGCTATCTTCACCAAAAGGATGTTCAAGTTTTGTTGAATGTTTGAGTTGCAACACTTACTTCAGGTGAAACAATCAGCTTTTAGTTACGTATTTCTTGGATGGCACAGAAGAGATGTGGTGGCAAAAATGGTAGTCACACCAAATATGAAATTAGGATGCATAAGTTTTGCCAAAAGTGGTGTAAGACAGCAAGTGGACGTTACCACATTTGTATCAGATACAAAGAAATAAGGTTCTTTCAGCTTAGATGGCATTTTCTTCTTTGATTCCAGGTTGCCTTGAGAAAATCTATAATATCTTCTAAGAGAGAAGGCTTGTGAAATGGTTTACTGACTAAGCTTAATGATCATAAATCAAAAATTAAAAGTCTAAGCCTTAGGAAATACCAAGGTGCTACTTGATACCTTGTTCCATTGGCTTGCATTTTCACTTTCTTGGCTCATGCTGGTGGAGATCATGAGTTAAAATATTATTTATAGGTGACAGAGAAGCAAGTTCTGTGTTAAGTATTGAGTATTTATTTTGAAACGCAACCATCAACTTTAAAGTAAATTGGGAAAAAAAAAATCAGAGCATAGAATATAAGCATTATTTACAGTTGCACAGAGGTGAAAATACATAATCTTTATTGTAAGCATGAAAATATGACTTCTATTCTATTAGAAGATGTGTTAGCACATAATTAGAAGGTCTTCTTTAAGATGTGGATAATGCTTACAGCACTGTTTTTCTTTGTTGTCTTTTATCTGCTTCTTACTACCTCTAGCCCTCAAATCAAGGTAGGCAGCTGGGGAATATCGTTCTTAGCAGGAAAATTAGCAGATAAAATTTGAAAAAGTATCTTCTGATTTAATGCAAAAATGAAAACACTTTTCAGCATGTAAATCACAGAATAAAATGCTGTTTGCACTTTTATTTCCTAAAAAGGTGGGGGAGACTCTTTTAAATTCGAATTGTAAGTCACTGAGCCAAAGATTAAATTGTATCTTAGTTTCAAAATTATGAGTAGTAATATAGTAGCTGGTTGACCATGATCTACATCAAGTGTAACATTTGAATTCACACCAGAATTTCTGTCCCAGGAAGTTCAGGGTGAATTGATAACCACAGGAGGAAGAACCAGTTCATGAAGGTTAACAGCTTGCTTCCTTCATTTTCCCTTCATTTCAGTGATGTGGTTCAGTCTGGGCTCATGACTGATTCTCCTGGGGCAGAGGGGCAGGAACTCATTGAGAGTAGCTCCTGCTGTATGAGTGCACTTGGATTTAAAACATAAATAAATTCAAATTTGTAAACATCAGGATAAATGCATCCCTAAAGGAACTGCTGGACTTTGGGAGAAGAATAGAGGACCAGGATTTCTCAAGCCCAAGAGGCAAAAAATCAGGTCTCTTAAGAGGATCAGGAGAGGGTTTGCTACAGTTTGTAAATAAGAGTTGCCCCTTGAAGGAGAGTACAGTTGTAAAGTGCCTGACAACTCCTTTAGTAAGCAAAATTGCTTTAGTATAGTGTACCAGCCAAGTTCAAAGTTTGTCATGTGTACAATTTGTGAAAGACAAAAAGGGAGGAAAAAAAAACTATGAAAAAATCATGCTCTGAGTGAGAGACTTAAAAATAAACTGACCTCTGAAAGTTCAGATTTGTTTTCAGTGGATATTTGATCGTAGAGTGAATTTTCATTTCAGCAGAGGATTCTCACTGAAGAAAGATGATGATGGCATCTAAGATAGAAAAGCTTGCACAACTCAAGTACTAGTCTCTGTAAAGGTCAGTGTTGAAGGATATATATGTATATAGTTTTAGCCAAGGAGAAATCTGCCATACTGATAGATCTTATATTAAAAAATTCTTATTTAGTATCTATTTCTTATTTAGTATCTTCACCAACAATTTGGGATCTGGAATTTGCGAAGGAGATTGCAGCAGTAACTGAGCAGCCTCCCCGGAATGGTTTTGAAGAGATGATCCAGTGGACAAAAGAAGGAATACTGTGGGAGTTTCCAATTGACAATGAAGCAGGTACGTACATTTTACCTTTGATTATTTATGTGTTTATCATTTTCGAGAATTGTGGTGTGCTGTAACACTTGGACTGTTTTAAAACATAGCATTTCGGATTAGGATAGCAAACAAATGTCACTTTCCAACTATACCAAATGAGAGATTCTTCAGATGAACTCATTCCGGTTCTCTTTGGGTGAAGTCCTGCAAGTGATTTGGCTGATCTGATCTGGCAGTTGGCTTCTGCCAGAAAGGGATGCTCTCCCTCCCTGCCTCCCAGTCCTGATGCTTTCGACACCGTAAGGCTGTTTGAGCCTTATTACATAATATCTTTTAGTAGGAAATGTCTTTTAAGTAAAGCTTCTAGCAGAAGAAGGAGACTCTTGAAACTGCTGAGTGTTTTATAATGCCTATACTGTTCTTTGGTGTGGCTCATAGGCTCAGTTGCTAGCTATCTGCCAGTTCCCTGTCTGCACTGGCTGGGCGTTGAACAGTCACTTGCTTCCTTAGCTCTATCAGTTTCCCAGCAAAAACAGTCACAGTATTCACTCATCCTGGGCATCTATCTTGACATCTTTGTGCTTCTATTTGCTCCTATTTCCATTTATTAAAACAACAGCAGCAAACAACAACAAAACTCTGTGTGAAGGTAGGCTAACAGGGATAGAATGTTAAGGGAAGAGGAAATACAGGAAGCAAGCATACGCTTTAGGAATAGAATTCGTAACTTCAGGGAGAGCTTGAATGTGGATTTTTTTATTTGAAGACATCAAACAGAATTACTTTTAAATCATTCTGAAAGCAAAACAGGTTAGTATCTGAAGCTGGGAGTCTTTGAAAAGCTGTCCTTTACAGAATTGCAAATTGCATGATCTGGTTCATTGTTTCTTGATATTTATTCTCATCCTATTTTGACAATTTCTTCACAGAATTTAATCCCTGGTCCCAGAATTTATCTGTTCAGGTAGAAATCCCAAGTGTACTCTACTCATGTTTTTGCAAAATTAACACCACAGCCAGTGGTTTTTCTGTTGTTGTAACGTGGCTGGAACCCTGCTGTCTGGGGCTGTTAGTGGACCAGGTGTCTTTGGCAGCCAATGGTTTTTCTGTTGTGGCAGCGCGGCTGGAACCGTGCTGTCTGGGATGCAACGACGGATGGACAAAGAGTCTTTACATGTAGTTAAACAAGAATCTTTATTGATTTGTCTACAATGACTGGTGGTGTGGAAAATTCCAGTGGAGCGTTCCAAAATCTATCAGCTCTCAGGTTAAAATATCAGGTCGGGAAATTCAGCCCTCTCAAACTGCCAGTTCTATCACAGGCTGTTAATCAGACCAGGTGTGTCAAAGTACAGTTAAAAACTTCAGAACCTCACTCCAATTATTTCAGCATACTCCAATTTCAAAAGAAAGATGCCCGTTCCCACTGTTAATTTTGCTGTTTGGCAACAGTCATTCCTCGCCTTGTTTTGTATCAAGAAATGAGAGATCTTTTATGCACAAGCACGTGGTTTTACAAACATCTATGTAATTAAATTTTCTACAGAGGAAGCATGTGTGCTCAACTTTTAGCATTATGGAAGCCTTTAAAGTTGTAAATAAAATATGGAAAATAAAGAAGACAGTTTGTCACTGTTTTTCTTGGCTTCAGAGCATCTTCAGTGTTCTTGTTTGAGTGCTTTACTGAGGCACTGTGCTTGCTTTGAGGCATCAAGGCAGGGACGTGACTTTTAAACTTGTCTGGCCCTAATGGGGACATCTGAAGATGTGGCCAGACTTAATGGCTTGCTGCAGTGCTGGTAGCAGTCTACCCCCTTTTCCTGTTGTTGGTTCTTGCATGCATGTTCTTGATGTTCTTTCCCTTCTCAAATGCAGCTGAAGTCACTGCTAGGCAGAAAAGAAAACCTTTTTTTTCCTTCTCTCCTGCCTCTAATTTTTACCAGATTAGCAAGCCATTAGTATAGCTCAGGTGACATCATTCTCACTCCTCCATCTGCTTGTCTTTTCTTCTTGTAGTGTTACTTCTACTCCATGATTTGCCATAGCAGAAAGTTGAGGAAGACATCCATTTCTGACTTCCTAAAATTATTTTTGTGCATTTGTACCTTGATGACTCCAATCCAGAGGAGCAAATGCTTCAAGTATGTCAGAGGTTGTTACAGCATAAGCAATAGGCTTAGTGGAAGACTCAACAAATTAAGGTCCCAGTTCCTTCCAAAGGCTTCTGTAGGCAGAAGAACACAAAGTCCTGTTCTGGTTGTTCTGTTGTAGTGCTGTTCCTAGTGTTGGGTAGGTTTACCAAGAGAGCTGACAGATGTTATGCAGCCATTTGAAGGGAAGGTTTCTGTTAATTTTTGATCTCTTTTAGGGACTTACTGTAAGGGCTCAAATTCTCTCTTTCAAAACTATAGGGATAGACATCTACATTTGAGATGTTGTCTTTAAGGGTAGACTGGTCGTCTTTAAGAGTCATTGTGTTAGCTAGAGAAATTCTTCCAGGCTTTTGTAGTACGCAGCAGATTGGAGATAAGATATTGAGAGTAGATGACCTTGCTTTGAGGTTGATAAAGAAAATGCTCTGCTTCAGGCTCCTGCTGTGCCAGTTCTTTCAGAAGAGGTTTCTTATGATGGTTAGAGAGAGAGTGAGGATCAGGCTTGATCATTCTCTGCAGCAGAAGGTGTGACTTGCTGGGAGAGGAGGAATCATGCATGGTTTCTGCCAGAAGTCACAGCCCCTGATGCTTTGGTCTCTTCTTGTGATGCATGCTTTACTTTTTTGAGGACTGATATATGTGATCTAACTGAGATATTTCGACTTAGCACTTCATCCTGAAACCACTCATCCTGTCTTTTACAAATGGGAGATCAAAACAGATGACTCAGTTGTTCCTCCTGGCCTGAATTTTTGCATAAGGCTAAAAATGATTTAATTTCTTTTAGGATAGAAATGAAAATTGGAGAAATTATTAATAGACATACTCTCTTCCTTTATCACCAAAAGAGGAGCATCAAAAAGACGAGACTTCCTGGCAGCACTGTCCAGATTCTATCAGTAGTGGGTTCATTGGTTTATTTCTTTTGGATTTTTTTTGACCAACAGAAGTATGAAATCTAGAAATGATGTTAACTTCTGAAGTCAACTGTCAGCATCTAGGTACAATGAGATTCCACTTGTTCATGGGGGAGAGAAAGCCAGTGTAAATGGCATGGTAAGATACCAACCCTGTGTTTCTCTAAGTGGATGTAGTTTTTCAAGCATTCTCATTCCAGAGTGAGTGAGGTCTTTTTTTTTTTTTTCCTTTTTTAACTTAACAGAAAAGGAGAGCTTATGGAAGAAGAAAATAGGCTTTCTATTTCAGAGACAAGGGAGATAAGTAGCTGGCACTGATAGACCCTGCACACATTTCTTGGAAAAATGCGTAGGGAAAAATAGATGCATCTCCCATCTCCTTCAGGCTTTGCATTACCTAACATAGGAAGGAAAGAATACAAACTCAACAAATATGACATACTGGCTGAGAGTGTTCACTGTCCCTGTATTATGTATATGAAATTGAAGAAGCTGTAACATGGGACGAAGCCTAGGACTGAGATGGCTCGTTTTTAAATATTGCTGATTTCATGTTGGCAAACAATTTATCTCAGATTTAGGAACTGCAAATCAGCTCTTTTTTTTTTCTCCTTTAGATAGGAATTCATGTTCTGAATCTAACTTGTGTACAGTGGTGTTAAAATATGAACCAACTGTAAATGAAATCCATGGGACGGAGGACAAAAACTACTATAGGATCTGAGCTGTATTTGGTTAGAGATCTAAACGATCCCTTATGCCATTTTCCTGTGCAGCTGAATGCTTTTGAATGCAAAGTCTTGTGCATTGGTCACTACTTACAAGTAGCAGCTGTTGTGACAGACAACGTTTTTACATCAGAATACATCCACAGATTTGAAAAACATTAGAAAAACAAATTCCCATGCCCATTTGATAGCAGAGGGGTGCTAAAACTGACTTGTAATGAACATGCAAGTATTTCTTAACTACTCTGTATTAGATACTTCAAGATTTTGCTTCATTCAAGACTACTTTGTGTTCCTTAATCCTGTGTAGAATTAGGCAGTCACTGTTTTCCTCAAGTGTTAAAAACGTTGAGAATCTAAAATGTAATTCACACAGTCGATAAAGGTTTCATGTATTGAGTTTTTTTTTTTTTTTTTTAGAAGATTTTTGGTATGAGCCTTCAGCAGGTTTACTATCAGATATTCTTATAGGGCATAAAATGAAGGTAACATGGCAGATGAGTAGGATATATGCTGACTTTTCTGTTAGAGTTCTGCAGTTTCTTCCACTTCTTCGTTGTTTGTTTATGGGCTTTTTAATTCTTTAGCAATAACCATTAATTTTTCTGATTAAAGGTCTGTTTACAAGCTTTACCCTTTTTTATTTTGTTAAATTCTCTGTTACGTGATGATAATGACCTGCCTTTTTGTGTCCCTTTCGGTAGGGATGGATGATGATGCTGAATTTCATGAACATATCTTTCTGGAGAAACACCTCAAAGACTTTCCCAAGCAAGGACCTATTCGCCACTTCATGGAACTGGTCATCTGTGGGCTTTCAAAAAACCCATACCTCAGTGTTAAGCAGAAGATTGAACATATTGAGTGGTTTCGAAATTATTTTGAGGAAAAGAAGGAATTTCTTCAAGAGATTTGAGACTTGGGAAAGTGCTTAACCTTGAAGTGAAGAAAATGTGCAGTAGTCATGTGATCTGAAAGTTGCATTTTTAATAATAAAGGCTGTACTTCTGTGTGTGTATGTCATGTATGTGTAGATCTCTTTTAGCAACAAAAGAAGGAACTGAAAAGTCTAGGTTTTGTAGAATGTGCATTTAAGATTTAAGTTATCAAAATCGTTGTCTTTTAAACTTGAAACTTAATCTTTTGTCCATAGGAAATATTAAATCTGATTCCAGTTCCTACTGCCTTCACGTTTGGTGTATCTTGACAGGTTTGTTCATCTTTCCCATTCTTGACAACTTGCAGTGCTTTCATTTTTAAAAATTCCTAATGCAGCCTTATTTGTTAAAACCTGTTACTGAGACAGTAACAAACGCTTCGTTTTGCTAGTTCATTAAATACAGAGGTATTTGGATGATACTTGGAATACCATCTCCTTTCATTAATCATCTCTCTTGGTTCATTTTAAAATGTAGGTACTGACTAGGTCGTATGAAATGAATCCTTAGTTCACCTTCTCAGTGAAATGCTATCGTATTCTTGAGATATATGTGCAGCGTAATAGTGGTGAGTTGCATAAAATAACACAAGTCTCTTCTTCTATTCCTTCAGCAATTCTGAAGCCTTTGACCAGCTTCTCATCAGAGAATGTTTAAGAATAGCCTGGTTGTTGAGAAGTCCATGAAATTATGTATGATTAGAGCAAGCTTCCTTATGATTGCTGCGAAGTCTGGAGCTGAGGCTTTATCTTCTGTATCTGCTGGACAAGAAAGAGGACTTGGTTCTCTCACAAGGAGAGCTGTTGCCCTCTGATTGTGGCTGCACTGTGCTACTATTTTCTGTCTAGTCCTGTGATGCTGAAGTAACTATATGAGCCTTACTCTAATTAAATGCATGTGGTTCTTTGCATCTCTTAAGCAATGCAGTATATTTACTTGTCCTCAGTTGTCTTTTGTTGAATTTTCTCAGATGTTGAGAATTCTGGATTACATCTCACTGCTTAGATCTCTAGGGCATTTCCAGCCTCATGCATTGAATTCTTGCTTGCTTTCTGCAATTTACAACAACCACTTCAGCAGTTAATAACCCTATGAGGGTTATTCCTATTTCCTTGTAGTCAGCGCGGGAGGTTTTGTAGTGAAGATAAAGCACTGGCTTCACATGCAAACTGATTTTTAATCAGAACCGCACAAAACAAATGAAAAATAAGAGGTGGCCTTTTTCTATGACTTAAACATTTTGTGGAAGGGATAAGCTGCTCTTCAACTTTCTAGCTGTAAGAGCAGCAAGGTTCAGATTTCTGCAGAATTGTTCAGAGAATTCCTGGCTTTGGAAAGTAGAAAGCAAGAACAATATCAAAGTCTATCCATTCGATACCAAAACGGTTTTAACTTTCAGTTTAATGCCTGGATGCATTTTGCTTAATAAATGCCATTCTTCCTAAATGTTAATGATGCTGGGAATTGCTTGAAGAGGCCCTCCTGAAAGCCTGCATGTTGCTGTATTTCAAGTTTGCCCATGAATGTATGTTCTTTGCAGTGAACTTGTGTTTTGGTATGAAAGATAGAGTGCCCTCACATGTTGTGCCCTCAACAGAAGAGGTTCAGGAGCCTCAGTTGTGTATCTGAGCAGTGAACTTCACAGCATTTGAACCAGAGGTGCGTGTTGTCGTTTAAAGTTATTTATTAGGAGGTCACTACTTCGACAAGCTCTTAACAAGAGCTCTTGGTGCTTAGCATCTTTGGAAAGCTGTAGTAATTCCTTCTTAGGTGCTTAAATATAGATTTGGGAGTTAATACAAGACAACAGGATTTGAATAATCAGATCTAGCTACACGTATGTATATACACTTACTGGGGCTGTTCAGTGTACATTACCAACCTAAGCAGCAGGGATTTAATGGTGGTTTTTTTTTTTTTCCTTTTTTTTTTTTCCCTCTTCTTGTTGTTTTTGGGGTGAGGGCATGTATTGGAGAGGGGTGCACACACTTCTTGTTCATCCCAGAGGAGTGGTCTCGGAGGAATTTAAAGTGTTGCTAAGATCAGTCATTTAGAAGCAAGCATAAGCATTCTTTTGTGGCCCAAAGGGCAAACGCTGGCTGCTGGTGGATGCAGCAGAATGCAGCCGGTGCTGGAGCTATGGGTTCCCTCACTGTGGTCATTTGGGGATTTCTTATGATGGTGGTTTTTCCCTCTTGTAACTGGCTAGGTAGTGTTATGTGTAGCATAATATATTCAGCATTGGGAGCTGTTGAAGGCGAAATAGCATCTGTTATATACTGCAGGCTTAGATCTCCTTCTTTATGCCTGAAGCTGAGGACTTAATGCAGTGCTAATGCCATACTCCTGTGATATATCGTACACAGCTATAGCTGCAATAGTTGTGCAATGAACAAAACCATCTTATTGAGAGGAGATGGCTGAGCTACAGGAACTTGTATCCAGATGTAAAATAGCGTGGTTGGACTTTCTAGCAGGATTTCAGAAGGGTTCTGGCCACCTCACAGGAAATGGAGACTGCTGTTATGGTTTGGTGTCACAAGAACTGAGACAGAGGCAGGCTGAGGTGCGCTGAGATGTGCCTGGCTGAGCAGAGCAGATCAGTGAGTGCTCAGAACAGGACAGCTTGTTCCCCTCTGTGCCTGTTCCCAGCCCTGAACCAAACCCATGCTGGGGCTGGTGAACTGGCCTTTGGCCAGAAAATGAGATGTGATGTCGGTGGTGCAAGCATTTTGGGTTGTGTGGCAGTTCCCTTCTGTATTTTGATGTGGATACCACAAAGACAAAACAAACAAAAAACCCCAAACAAAACAAACACAAACACCCCCAGCCCCCTCCAGAAACCACGGATTGAAGGTGGAAAAAGGTTGAACACGTACAATTTCTTAACACTCTCTTTCTGCCCTTGTAATTTCCTTATCTCTGCTTTCCAAATGCTGATCTTGCCCTGCCCCCCTCAGTGGTCTTATTGATAATCATAATGAGCTTAAATGCAAAGCAATATGTTTGCAACTCAGGGTTAGCTGTTTTTTTAAGTTGTCCTTAGCTGAATTTGCTGCTCTGGTTTGGGGGTAGCGTACCAAATGGATACTCTGTGGTGGTTTGTTTGCCTCATTTTTCCAGAAATATCAGACATTCCTTCTCCTGACAAGCCTTGCTTTGTTCAGAACCTCAGACTGCCTGGGTTGCAGCGGCGCGGTGCTGACTTCATTGTACAGACTTGTATTCCCTCTCATCAGGCATCCCTTCATCTGAGCACTTATGGGTCTGTTGGGTGGCTGTGCTCTTGGTGCCATCCATCTGCTTACAGTACTTGGGAGCCTGGTGCTGGGTCTCTCCAACTTCAGCTGATGTGTCAGACGTTGGGCTGGGAAAAAACAAACTTCTCAGGGACCGTTCCATGCCTGAAGGGGGGGGATGAAAGACCCATGACAGGCCAGATGACTGTGTTAATGCAGAAGATGGCAGTGGGGTGTTGATACCACCCCAATCTTGTCTTTGACATTGGATGGCATGCCATGCCTTTTTAAACTTACTTTATATGAATGATTTGGTAGAAATTGGATTTTTATTATTTATTTTATATTTTTACCACCTATGTAACGCTTTCTCCCCAGTGTGGTATTAAGAGGAAGCTGGAGGAATGATGCTTTGGTTGCAGGACTTTGTGGTGGAGCTTCAGCTCTTACTATACCGGCCAGTCATACCGTGGCATTGGTGTGCTGTGTGCCTAATGGGAGTCTGTACTCCTTGACTACAGAGACAAACACTTCCCTGAGTACTTAAACCATATATTTTTAAGACAAAGAGGAGCATTAAAGGAGTCCTGGAGCGCTACTCAGGTCCATTTGCTTCCAGTGCTTACAGAGATAATAAAATTCCAGCATGAAAATAGCTCCTCCTCAGGAGCTTGTGCTTTGATGAGAAGCCTGAAGCATTGCGGCTTTTATGAAAGAGGAGCCACACCATTGCTTTCAGTAATGATTTGAAAGTAAATAGTCTCATCTTAGGTGGGATTGTAAGGACCTCTTGGCTAAAGTTGTTTTCCTGATTTAGACAGAGGATGGTGATTGAGGTTGAGGGGACTGGTTTTCCCTGCAGACAGACTGGAGGCCCTCCGGGCAGCCTGGCTGCCCATAAGGTGAAGTCTGGGTGCCCAACATGTCAGCCTGACAGACACGGGTTCCTCTTGGTCTCAGCTGCCGTGTCAGTCAGTCTCTCGGTGGCTACAGCCATTCTGGTCTCGTGATCTCCACAAGATGTCAGTGTAGATTTATGGGATTAGATAGCAAATCCTTGTGCTGTTCCCTCGACAGATTAAAGCCCGAACTTGTTTTAGGGAGACACAATCGGTTTGATTGTGTTCAGGAATGCATTGCCTGGGGAGGAGCGAGGCAGTACTGTCCTACAGGGAGAAGTGTGAATGGCACCCCAAATTGGGAGAAGGACTCCACAAAGTTTGTGGTGCCAGAGCCGTACTGGGCTAATGCTGAATGGGGATGAGTCTGTTTTTGAAGAAAAGCTGGAAGAGGGAGCAAAAAAGCAGGGCAGCTTGGGTGAAAGGAAGGATCCAAGGTCAATTGGATCAAGGTGCTTGTTGGAGGAGCACAGCTGTGCATGGTCACCAGAGCTCATTGGGTTTGTTGGGATTCATTGGGAATCCCAGGCATCCATACAGACTGGAAGGAGCGGTCCTTGAGAGCAGCTTTCTGGAGAGGGACCTGGGAGTCTTGATGGATGAAAAACTTAACATGAGCCAGCAGTGTGACCTTGCGGCTTGGAAGGCAAATGGTGTCCTTGGCTCCATCAGAAGAGGGGTGGCCAGCAGGCACAGGGAGGTGATTGTCCCCCTCTACTCTGCTCTTGTAAGGCCTCATCCGCAGTACTGTGTCCAGGTGTGGAGCCCCCAGTACAACAAAGACAGGGAGCTGTTGGAGAGGGTCCAGAGGAGAGCCACAAAGATGATCAGGCGACTGGAGCACCTCCCTTACAAAGACAGGCTGAGGGAGCTGGGCTTGTTCAGCCTGGAGTAAAAAAGGCTGCGGGGTGACCTCATTGCAGACTTTCAGTACCTAAAGGG